ACACTTTAACTACCTGTATACTATTTGTCTATCAAAAGCTAGTCAGTTTTATAACCTAGATAAAACAAGCGAAAATTATCCCGACACTATCTTAACAGTCCTCAAAGTTTGTCCCTATGCATTCATCCTACAATTAAATCTACCACAAGATATTTAAAACAGGTAGAGTGACAATAGAATATTGAAAATGACCGTGAAATTCCGTTTCGTATGGTGGGCATATATAAAATTCAAAATTTATCAAAACCCGTATTGATGACACCTTTTTATAAACTGGATTGCCATTCACTTTAATCATTGTATAAAATGAACATGAATAGTGAGACAAATTGATCAAACGAAAATACAACAGGAACTAAAATAAAATTAATTTACCAGCTTCTATTTCCAGTGCTGTCAAAAGCTCAACAGGTGTTCCCATTTTTTAAACAGAAAGCTAAGAAAATATTCCAGTTCTACATGAGTATTGATTCATCGAAAAAATAACTTTAAAGTTGGCAATTGTTTAAGAAACGTCCATCCCACTAGACTACCGAAAAAATCCGCATGGAGAAAATATCCAATAGTGGGATAATGAAATGAATGATTTTCTAACCGTGGAATGTTTATCATTGATTGTGTGGTGATGATAGTGATACGGACAGGATGGACATGTATATAAACGACCCTAATGAATGAATTAACCAATTATATGATTCGATAACAGAATGGTTTGTCTTTTTATCACTGGTAACACAAGACACGTGATAATTGTGGTAGAAATAAAGAACATAGGAAAGTGAGAAGCTAAACGAATTCGTCAACTGCAGACACATAGGAAGCCCGTTAGATAGGTTGAGTAATCTGATATCCTTAAGATACATGAGATCCAGCCTATCCTAGGCACATGTAAATATGGTTACTACAACCTGTAACTAATGTCGTGAATCAAAAATGGAAAAGCACAATTCGCTGATCTAACGAAGCTACTGGTTTTTACATAAAATGTATTCTACTATATTTATGAACACCATTTAGGAGCAACCTTTCTAGATCAACGGTCTCACAGAACAGCGCTTTTAACCTTCACACAGAATGCGACGAACCTATCATGTTGAACAGGTAAGTGGCGGAAAATTAGTCATACAAAGAATTTAATGGAAATGTGTAGATTACCTTATTGGGAAATAAGTTGTCATAATTACTCATAATAATTTACTTGGTAAAAATAAACCGATTTACTTATTTCACTCGAACTTCATGCTACCCTTTAATGGATGAATATCCTAACACTTCGGAAGTCACGAGGCCGATGCCCCTTGTAATAACCAGAGCAACCATTGATATATGTACATGGAATGTTCGTAGATCGTAGAAGACCAAGAGTCATTCAAGTTACTGCGGAAACGAAAATATCATTTTTCTCTGTATATCAGTTATTTACTAGCCGGAGGAATAATTCATTTCAAACATCGATTACTAACAACAGGACTATTTTAAACTGTAAATTTTGATAAAAACAAAGTGATATGGAAATGAAACATCTATGGCGAATATCTACCTTATCTGGTTTACAACCCCTAACCTCATACACTTTTATTGTTCATTTTAATAGAAATTATAGTCAAACCTTTTAAAATATCTAAATACTATTTAGAGGTTAATTTTGTTGGTGTAAAATGTCGGATACTGAGAATTATTCTAGACTTTTTTCATGAATAACCGAAGATCTAACATTAAGAAAGAAAATTATATTTATAAAAATCTCAGCGATTGAAGTTGAAATAAATCCTAACTTTCGCTCGGCAGTCTGGAGCAAGCTTTTCCATAGAAATATCATAGAATATAACTAGATACATGGTTCTCCAATTAACTGTGTACTAAGAAGGTCATCCAATCCTGTTAACAAAGTTTGTTAAAAGTAAGGTTAGTTTTAGTGCGCATGAGACATTTGATGTCAAAAATAGAAGAACATAAGTTGAGATAAAAGTTGTATATACGTTAGTGAAGATGATATAGGGAAAATTTTCAAAAACTATATATCATTTGATTAGTGTTTTCTGATAAGATTAGTATTGTTTGGTTTTACCCACATATGTAGAGCTTCAGCTGTTAGTCTTCGTACGAACAAAAACTTTTCCGAAGCATCACTGTGTTACGTTTGCGATTCTTGATCCTCACATTCAACTGCCTTAATGTATCACCTACACATGTGGCTTTACAGTCATTACGTTTGATCTCATATACACAATTTATCCTTTGGTATTAAGTCCTTGTTTCCTCTTAGTTTAGAGCTTCGAGTTTTATTTTTCCAAAATAATATTCCTTTATGTGATGGTTAAGGATACTTTTGAAGTTCCATTACGATATAGGATTGCCTAAATGTTGAGACATTCTTTTGGTTGATCTTTATTTGTATCTTTCTTATATTTCTCAATTATTTTTTAGGTAAAGTTCCTCGCCATCATCATATAACCGAGTTCGTCTCAGTTTCTTCGTGTCAGCTTCACTTACGGCGTAGTTATTTGTTGAAATTTAGATGAAGGTTCTCGTACACAATGTAAGAGTTGAAAATGAGCAGGAATAGATAGTTTGATTATACTAGATAGTTTTTGCATTTAACACAAAATCTTTGTTTAAATTTTTTAAATGCTACAAAAATAGTCGATTCAGAATTTCTTAAGACTTCTGAATCATTGATAGACTGGCTCGATACATCTTGAAATATCTTAATGTTCTGTGACCGCATTGAATTCGTTAAAAGATAGAACACACAACTTTGGAAATTTATTGTACTTAGTCTCTTAATTTTAACGATTCACAGCGTCAAATTGAATCCTTGAAAAAATTAAATTTCATGATAGCCACAAACAGTAGATACGAAATCGAATGATACCTTCAATTTAAATCCTAAATTCAAGCCTATAAATAACTATCTCTTATTACAGAGCTATCTATCACTATCTTGAAAACTTTTCCAAACTATATTTCAAACAAAACAATTTGTAACTACTTAGACAGTTGTACAGTAGTACGTTATAATTCGATAAATTTACTGAGCTTCGGTTGACACTCGAACATAAATTTTTACATTAAAGTGAAGCCAAATCTGTCAGTAACCTTCAGAATACACATTACAAACAAGAAAAATCATTTCTCTTAAATCTGACTTCTGATCAATACTAAATTTATAAATAAACAACAAATACAGAAATAACGATAAAATCATTGGAATACTATGCTCCTAAAAAGTCTATGTTAACTACAACATTAATATCAATATAATTGATCGGTAAATCAGAACTTCAGTTAAACATGTTTACGGTAAAATAACTAATAGTGGATTGCTAAAAAATTATCCGATTAAGTAAATCACGCAAAACATCATTATAACTAGCTTTCTTTTCTCTATTATATATAAATAGATTAACATTTAAATATTCAATTAACCTTAAAATTCAGTTCTATTGGACGATAAAGAAGTCAAGAAAAGTACGTAATAGAACCTTAATTAAAAGTAGAATTTATGTAAATATCGAAAGAGCAAGAATAAACTAGCCGATCTCTAACTAATTCAGTATAGTAGACAATACAAACAATCTACGATCTAGGATATGTATGTATCAGCTTAAGTTGTATTTTATATAACCGTGCACCAATAAAATCAAATAAGAACAATAATGTTGAACTAATATTATCAATATCACTGGAACACCAACCATCACATGTGTATTTCATACCGGACGAAAGCATGAATTCAGCGCCATAAATAGTTTGAAATGATTTCATGTCAGAGATTTACAGGCGCATATATCTCTATTTATTTGGACACCGAATCTATGAGTCATACAATAAAAACGAGGTTGTGAAGAGATATTATACAAAAGGTGAATATTATAAACAAAACACAGAAGTGAATAGAAATTAGTGTAATAATAATAATAAGCAGTTCAGTTGAGAAAATACAACCAGAAAGGATAAGAAATTAACGTGCGTGCGCCATCATGACCAGTTAGTTATAGGCCAAAAAACTAAGATTGTCTGAACTAGTGAAGATGGCCACGCTAACACCGAAGTAAGAGATATGCCATGCAATAAGCATGTTAGGGAGGAGAAACATTCATTACTGGAGTCCAGTGCATCGATTTCAAATTTAACAAGATTACATTTGAGTTTAAAGATTCGACATTCATTTTTTATACAATGTCGATAATCGATAAATGTTTTAAAAATCCCCTAACACCAGATACTACATTGAAATTAGAAACCTTTAAAAATCATTTGGTCAAGACAAATCAAGGGAGAGTAACAAAACCAACATGAGCTAGGCCTCAATAGATAGATGAGTTTTACGCACTAACCCTACTCCACCTACACCACTTTATGAAATCAAGTACTTCACATTAATACAATAACACGGAAGTACATAAATTCCACAAACGTAGAAATGAAACTCAACAAAAGAAAGGTATTTCTGCAAGCAAGAAAGTTGATCCAGAAAAGAAAAGTAACCGATGAATAGTAAAATACCATGGTTGATTGTGAACCATCACTTCTTCTAGTGATTCACGATCGAAACCATCGACTATGTCGATTTACGTTCAGATCAAGCTGACATTTACTAGGTACAAAGATTGACAGTACGGTTTCAGTCAGTCACTTTCCTTCTGCCGACTAAATACTACTTCAGATAAAAACCTTTTAACCGCAATTTATGTGGTATCCAAATAAATTGTATTTTCGATTTCTTATTCGTTCAAATAAACTAGTCATATTTCTATCAACTAGGCATACATTTAAACCAAATTACCGCATTAAAATGAACAAACTTTTTCAGACCACACTTCCAAATGCTAAAAAGACAGGATTTCGTAAAAACTCCAGCTAAATAAATAATATCATATGCGTAACTTAAGTTGATAGGAAAATATACTAGAAATTAGCTTTCTAAAGCAGCAAATATTTGAATTTATTCATTGATAACTTTTGATAAGCAAATAAATCGGAGAAAATTCGCTTACTAAAATAATCAAGAGTATTTTCGATCTGTTCTTCTGTTAAACTGAGGGTGTCGCCTTCTTCGTCTTCCTCTTCAGAGTGGTCTTCCTCCAAATTCTTATCAGTTGTTTTATGCAGAGAATTGGTTGTATCAGAACCAATGTATCCTATTGTGGTTAGCTCAGTTGGTGATTTGGACAGATATTTACTAGGAAAATCACGAGTAATTCGTCTAGCAGATCTGAAATCCTTGTTTTTATAACCTAAAAAGGCAGTACATGGATCCACTCGAAGACGATAACGTGGGATCGACTGTCGTTGACTGGTAAGACTGATTAGTTCAATATCCACCACAAAATTGTCGTCTTCAACAATCGTACTATTATGATTTTGGTCTTTCGAATCAATCACAGATATGTGACTCGGAATAGTATGATTTGGATGATTGACTACTTCCAGCTGAGGTGAATGATCAGGATGATTAGGGATTGTTTTTTCGTACGAATGTAGGGATGTGAGTTCTTCTGTGACACTAATTTGCAACTGATTATCAACACTTTGACATAACTGAACGTTGGAGCAACTCGAGTTATCTGTAAAAATACACTAGTCATTAAGTAATGAAAATAACATAATTAATGGTTGAAGTTTAGGAAAAGACTGAGACTAAACAACACAACAACATCTGGTGAAAGTGTAACGAGACATGTATCATGAAATAAGTTGATAAGCACAGAATGAGGAAACACCTATTTTCAAAATAATCAATTATGAACATGATTGCACAGTATCAACAACTATCAGCTTTTGCTACCCACATGATGATATTACGCTAGAATATGCAGTAGTAGGATCGGAAGATAAGACTAACTCTTAATCAATATAACCTCACACAGTCTTTTCCAACAAAGTCGCATTTACTTTATTCACTCAATGAGAGTAAGAATGTAGGATGCTTCAGATGCAGTTACTGATATGCATTTTATTGAAGGATTAATAAGTCTCTTATTTTTAACTTATGCTGTACAGAGGCTCGCCGACCTTAAAAAAATATCGTATAAACGCATACTTATAACTGGACTCTACAAAAATCGGACTAATCATGTTATTTGTGGAACAAACCTTCAGTTAAAAGTTTTACAGGCGATTTCCTTAACAACCTGTCTTACTTTCGATGAAAAGTATTATCCCATCCCGAATAAGATTAAACACAACACGACAAACGAAGAGCAAGAAAGTTCTCGATGTTGATAGGTCCTAATCATAAGCATCCTTACTAAATGTTTATACTATTTTATTTCTATTTCTAATACAACTCATCAATTTTAAGTTTTTGTACTGCATAAAATTTAATGCTACTAACCAGTGAGTCAAGTTGAACTACAGCGGGCACTTCAACCCCCAACTTGGGGATTGGAAGCTGAGCACCTTAATATAGGATCGGAATCCATTTATGTGCTATACTAAAAACAAATGGTTGATTGGTCGTAGTTTCACCGCTATCCGTTTGCTTGATCTGGACACCCAAAGACATACCCGAGTATCTTTCAGCTAGAAATACTCTACTTACTTCAGAGTTATAGTCATCCTTTAAAATTACTCATTCTCAGCTTTCAGGGTTCTGGAGACTGAAAACCTGTTGGGAAAATATCGAGTTGCAGTCATTCACATAGTAGACTGATATTGCAGAGACATGGTGTGAACTCCTACTCTCCCAACTTAACATAGTCTCATTGATTTGTCAGTTGGGGTCCTGTCCCGCCGGAACATAATGCTATACCTTTGCTTCAAATGCCATGATAATACACTTTACAACTTGGGACTATTATGCAGATTAACTGTAGCGCATTTATATGGTGAAAGAATGTGCACTAATTGAAGACTCCGCCAGTACAGCTGACTTCTTCAGGTAGCTAATAAAATATTAGCAGCATTCACAATAATAAATAGCAGTAAACTTCGAGAGAAACGATCTATTACACTCCTTGGGTGAGGGGCTTCGGTAGAAAGCATGAATATAGTGTTTCTTTTGGACAGATTAAGTTGAGTGAGCAGCGTCAAGATAACGCACTAGCTGAGTGTGCTACACCAGGAGGAGGTACAACAATACAACATACAAGAAACTAAAAAACCATTCGCTGTACATTACTGATTCGTTATGGTGAATAAGACTGTATTCAAACAAGAAACCATTTTATAAGTACCTTACCCATCAGTAAATGCTCCAAAGATGCTGGACTTCCTCTGACATCCCTCTGAAATTACAATAGGGTTGTAAACGGTTTGGTAAAAAGATAATATACAATGCTATTACAAGAAATGCAATTTAACATTAACATCGGATATAAACCGAAAAGCTTAGAATAGTTTTGAAAATTCTTCACCTAACAAAATATGCATTATGAATACTGAAAAATTATTGCAATCAGATATACGAGTTTTAGTTCAAATAAGAACAATACAAAAGTAAACAAAGAGACTGGAAAATTACGAGATGCTTACTAGCCACCTACGCATGCCTCAAGCACTACAACAATCTATGTGAAATTTAACAGGCATCAAACAAATTCCCATATTCATAGAACTAGAAATCCGCAAATGTGAACGGCATTGAAACGGACTGTGTATTATTGGTGATGATACGATAAAAATCCAAATTGAAGATTGAAGGAAACTAGCATAAACGGACTACTAGGAATTCTGGTGATATGAAGGATTGAAGGAAAAACGTCCCACAAGTTAGGAAACAACTTGGACTACTAGTATTTCGTCACCAGTAAAGAACACTAGCTGACATCAGATGTACTAACCCATTTGAAAAGTCGGTCGAAATATAACCTGGCTGGAAGTAAGCCGAATGAAAATGTCAACTTGAATACAAGGTCTAGGACCAGGAAACCTACCAGGATATAAAACCACGAATAACGTCCCCTGTGCAAATGAGTGAAGTGACTAGGAGGCGCACTTCCAAAACATGTCGGCGCCGATAATTTTGTCCGGCACGACAATAAAAATCCACACCTAGTTAGTTCATTGAACTTAACACTTATATCAGTGCAGTAAGTTGAGAGTATCACACTGAATTATTTCCCACCAAAAAGACTATCAGCTTATTAAACAACCCACAGAAATCAAATGAACAATACGATTTTATCAAGGTTTACCTACCTAGATGTTGAGAGCGATTCGATTCACTTTATGTACAGTATTTCTCTGAAACTTCACAACAAATAAGGAAGAGCGCAGAAGTATGTTTATTTTACAGACTCCAGTAAGTATTTATGTACTTGCATATCAGGAATACACAGACCAAAAAAGGGCTCAGCTCAAAATAACGAGCAGATGCAGTTCAAAACAGCCCCCTTTTCGTCTCCACGACCTTGATGGCTTTCCTTCAAGGCGGGCATCCCATATTTGAGATGTACTGTGTTGGTTGGCTGCCTGTTAGCCAATCTGTGACTGTAGTTCAATAAGGATTTTTTAGAAAGTGAACGTCCGAAAAGATTGAGAGTCATCGACAATTACACTCAATGTCTTCATTTTCATTTTCAGTGTACACAATAGATGTAATTTTAAGCAGCGGTTCGTTTGAAATTTATGGAAAATTTCTTACTCTATTGAACGCCGTATCAGTTTTATAAAAGTGGCAATGAAATTTAATAGATTTACGTGCGATTATATTCACTTTATGCACGTTTTTTCGTCGTGTAGAGATTTAGGGGAATATTTTATCAGTCAGCTTATTTTAACGTTAACTTTACAAACAGTTCGAGAAAAGATTTGCAACGGCTGTTGAACAAATTACTGCATATTAAAGTGAAAAAATTCTCAACGCACAGGTAAGAAATCTGGTTCTTTAATGTGATACAAGTCCAAGCTTCTTAGTGAAATTTATCTGAATGATTGCTGCAACATGTATTGTCCAACAAATAACCAACTGTAAAATCTTCAATTTGTTATCTTAGCATGTGCTGAATAACTCGTAATGTGACGTATTGGTTACGCTTACCACTCATTTGACAATATCCAATAAGCTACAAATTCTGTTTTCTTCCATTGTGTTGCGGTGCTCGTCAAGGCCCGATTAGGTGCGAAATTCACAGATTCTCACCCGAATACATGGTGAAGGCTGAGATGATACTTCAGGAGTAACATGTGAAAATGCATCTCAAGTTCATATTAACCTCTGTAGTTGTGGAATCAGAAAATTTAAATTTTGACATTCGGCCCATACTGACTCTGATCTGTTGTCAAATGTTCCTATTTCCGATCGCCTAATTCAGTTCTACAAGTTTTTTACACCATCTGGCCTAGACAACACTTGCTTTATCGACCTGATGCTTGCCCAATAGTTATGTTGTACTCTTAGTCCTATTTCCGAAATAACCAGAAATTACTACTTTGAAATATATTGTGTTCCAGTCTTCGTGACGACTTTCGTGCTCAGTTAACAGTCTACAAGTTGATTAGCGCACAGGCTTATCAATGCAGTCGAAAGTCTGAAACCACTCACAATTTAGCTTGAATAACAATGAAACTCATTGCTTTATGTTTGGTTTAATTGAAAACTCGATAAACAGATTTTTCAAACCTGGATAAACCAGAAAATATAATCATCATGGTGAGCATATGTAGGCATTTTGCACATAATTCGAGAAATTTCGCACCAGCCTGCTGAGTCTGTCTTGAAAAATTTAAGGCTCGTGAATACAGTATAGGGAAACAATAATGGGTTAGAAATTACTGTACCTGAATTTTCGTTTACATCACTAACACAAAAATACATATATATTCCAGGCTCAGTACCGCTTATCATTTGTATATTCAAGATTATAAATGAATGAATCATTACTTTTCTTGACAATATTCCCGCCGGTAATTTTCCTTCGCAATCTAACTGCAAATAAGCAGGGTTACTGTTTAGTTGTGAGCTGTTTTACCTCATACATATTATAACACTAAGCGAGAGTTCAGAACCTCCTGCTGACCCATTCTCACCCAAGGTTATTGTGATATAAATTCTAAACCTTTTACATGTCGACAAACAAGAACTATGACATCGGTTAACTCCTAAAATATACAGCTTTCTGGTCACCAAAACCATAAATGGCGGTTGCTCAACTCTGTCATGTTAAAAGTTATTTATAACAATCGCAGATGCCCCAAACATATCATAAAGTGAACTTTCCACAGTTTTTTTCTATAAAATCAGTGGTTGGGTTAATCTGATCTAATTTAATTCTCATCAGAACAAACCGCAATACATATTAATCTTGTCTACAGGTCAACTCCAGTCTTTATCGGTCTATCCAATTGATGCGTTTTAGAGTTCTTGAACAAGCTTGGCTTACGAAGAGCAAGATACTGGGCGATGGGTACTAGTGTGCACATATACCCATCCAAAGACGAGATCTGAGTAGGTCGAAACATACGTCCTGAAATCTACTTCTAGTCACCATCTACCTCTGCTAATAATGCTTACATCCTATAGGTAATATCAGGGCAACCAGCGCGGGATCCACAAATGAAAATATGGAAAATTACCAAAACCATAAACATTACCTCATTAGTATCTGGGGTGATTCAGAGGTGATGAAAACGTGGCAGTAATAAAATGGCTAATTAATAACAATTTCATATAGACCTCATAACAAGGGTTTTTGAGTTCCAGGTTATGCGATACCTGCCTACTAGACTATCTGAATGATATAAATCAGAAACAAGATGAAGGATATCTAGTGTCAGTCTTATTCTTGGGTTTTAAGAACGTTTCGCATAAGGTTCTACACTAAAAGCTGATAGCCAAATTAAAGTCATTCGGAAGTGAGGACAACCACAGCATTAACTAACATAGGCACATGGAATAATCCTACAATGCGAGCGACCCTGAAGACCATCTAGGAAGTAGCCCAATTGAAAAGATACGTTCTGAAGGTGTTTGCAAAAATGGAATTTATCGAACAGAATCTGAGCTGAAAAATAAGCTTCGGACGAGATGTTCTTGCACTCTGGTCATGAAGAAGAAGATTCCTAGCTCACTAATAAATAAACTTGCTTTCCGTCGAAACTCTCTCTGCTCTGAATAATTTGCTCTGTGCTTACACATATCGCAGTAATCCACGCCCATTTCTTGTTGTTGGTCAAATCAGTAGCTTCAAAGAAAGGCTTGCCAACGGAGTTATCGAAAATAGTTGTTTAGTCATGTATTGTTTCTAAATGAAGAAATTTACAGTTAACAAAATGAAGTAAAAGCATGTCACGAAATATTTTCTAGTTGCTATCAGATGCATAACTCATTAGTCATCTTCGGCTTCCAGTACTGTTCCGGCCGAAATTCGGTGGCAAAGTTTGCACAGCGACGTGATGATGGGTTAAAATATGAGTCACATTTCATCGTATTGCGAAAGTTAATGCTAGAGCTGGTACGTTAACCAGCACTAAACAGTCAACAAGCAGGTTTGCGAAATATGAAAAGGCCCATTGTAAGCCAGATGTTCGTGTAAAAGTGTTAACGACAGGGATTATAGTTTTCAAACTCAAGGAAGAGGTTTGTATCATGGGATGAAAACGACACAGTTTTTCGGGAAGGACACCTAAGTCCTAACTGCATAGTGAAGAAGCCGAGAGGATAAACCCTGTGTTACGCGTAACGTCAGGAACACATTACGCCGAGAAATAGAGAAAGATATGAGAGGAACGAACAAGAACTGGACAGAACTGGAGAGGAAAGCCCAGGACAGAGTTGGTTGGAGAAAACTGGTGGGCGGCCTATGCTCCATTGGGGGTAACAGGCGTAAGTAAATAAGTACGTGTAACTTCGAGCATACACTAGGCTAGCATAAACTTAGCTAGTGCAACGTTAATAGTGAGCAACGTCTACTTACGTATCAATTCGATTGGGGTTCATGAAACATGTTCGTCCGTAGAAGCGTTTGCTCTAGGAGCGAGTAGCCCCAGCGCGATATGGTACCGGCTTATCAGAGAAACTGAGTAATATGGGCAAAATGGAAATTCTTTCTGTCGATACCGTAAATTGGACGTAGATCCATTTGCATGAATGGGTAGTATCTTGCTTAAGCCCAATAGATAGTGATGCTTTGATCCAAGTTACAACTGCCTTCACCAATCCTCACGTGAGATCAAGAGATTCTATGAGACCAGAGAGAAGGTTGCTAATCTACCTTTCTAACCTACCTATTCACGATCTGCATGATATGAGAATCGAGCCAGAAGTGGATGTGATTTGTCTATGCATATAGAGTAATGGAACTAAGATGCAGAGATAAGAATGAGCTCTATGCTGCCAAAACGCCATTATTATAGTTTACTAGTGGTTCATATCTGAACAGGACATTGAAGAGATTGTGAGAATTGAACTTGTTGAATGGTTTAATGACAACTTTCAAGAGATAAGTGCGTTGTCAGCACAAAGCCTTCAAGCCATGAAGTATATTCACCAACCTTGTAAGCTAGTGGAAGGTCACTTTTCCATGGGTCTCCAGTGGGAGATTGTGTGAGAGGACTATCATACAATAGGGATGCCGCGTCAACACGTCTGCACTGGTTGAGTAAAAGGTTTTAGGCACGTAGTGAGTTGACCGGGTGGCATCATGAGACTAAAGAACGTCACGTAACCAAAGGTTATGTTTACAAAGTAGTTGGCAAGATATCAGGCATATAATATCCACCTAATCATTTCGTAATGAATCCAAGAAAACCAGGCACGATCAGGACTATATTCGGTTGTTTTACGAAACTTAAGTGACCATCGCTAAATGATGTACTGCCAAATGGACCTAACTGTGTTACCTCACTACTAAGATTTTGTCGATCTCCGATTATCTTAGATAGTATCAGTAAGGCACGACGTTTTTCGATCATTTTTCCATAAGGGAGCATTCTATCTGATAAGGTTAGATAAAGCACCAAAAATCTGTGAAACCCTCACTGTGTATTATTTATGGTGATAAAAGTGCATCATCTAAAATAACTGGGTAAAAACATGCAGGTGTCCTGACGGTGCTGGCACTTTGAGTGTCTGTAAGGCGACCACTACTTAATTTTCCAAGCTTTTTATAAATTGTTCCTTTATAAAAAACTTAGGGGAATTTGTACTCTCAGTTCTTGAGGTCACATTCAGAATACGGGATTTAAGTACCAAACTTTGTTCTAAACATTTCAGAGAGTTCAACAACGAGGAGTCAAAGCAGTGAACGGTCTCTAGCCTACATTATGAGGTTAAAGTGAGACTTTCAGTGGTCCTATTGCAGGTTACGAGGTGATTCCTTTTGGATCTGTTGCATACTGAACGGTGACTGAGGCATAATTATGCATCACATATTCTTTTACTTCTAAGGATAATAATCCGAAAGGGAATTTTCCGAAATATCAAAAGTCGGAATCGAATTTCCTGACCCTGAATTTATCTCTCGTACCACATAGTGTGTTACTAGGACTATTTACCGGAACAAGTTATGTAAATGGAATTTTTGCTCTAACAGTTCACTCCGGCTCCAGTAGATGCAGTTTGATACGCGTACGCCCAGGTCCGAAATAAGAACACAATAATTCTGGAAGAAAACGTTCCTTATTTATTAAAAGTGGAAATACAGACAATTACCAAACAATATTACACCTTCTAGTTCCAAATTACCGCGATGGGTATCCGTTTCTGGAAGAATAAGTGCTTCCAGTCCGTAATGATAAGGTATCAAATCCAAATATGGCTGTAGCCATAATAAATATCAAATTTAAACAACATATGTACAGTTCAGAAGGAAACATAGAAACTTCAATATAAGCACAAGATATAGGAATAATAACAATATACAGTGATAAAATCTCAAAATGGAATCAAATAGAGTACCAAAATGTCAACAGAAAGAGGCAATCATATCATAACACAAATATATATACGTGGAGGGATTTTCCAAAAAGCAAAACATTCAAAATAGATTCTACAAGTTATATAAGTACCATATTTTAATACTTTTAATGAGGAACAGAATCTTCACAGTACAATCAGTTACCAAAATAAACAAATTAAGATATAACGGATATTGAGAGAGATTTTATAATACCATTAATCAAGTCAAGCAAGAATTCACTAATTAGAAGGATCTGAGATATAGAGAAAGGATGGTTGTGATTTAGAGGAATGAGTGAACTATGTTTTCTAGTTCATGCGGGGGGAGGCGTGAAACGATGTGCCTGACGTTAGTCTGGTGTGAATGCATAACGGAGAACCCTTAGTCAGGATTTTTCCCCTAAAATAATGGGGTCGAAATTAATGTCGAAGACTTATAAAACTATTATTTTGGTGATTTATTTACCGATACACATGGTTTGCTTCACTTCTTTTACTTACTTCTAAGACTGGAAACGAAGGGCATAGGTTGTCGATCTGGAAGTACTGGTTACTGAAAGCCAACTTTATGGGGGCGGTGAGGTCTGGTTTTTTCTGAATGGAATCTCTGATTTATCATTTTCTAGCAATCTTAGTTCCCTATGAGGTTACAGAATAGAATATCAATAGGGTCAACTTCCAGGTCGTGTATTTTTGAAGTTGATTTTTAGAGGATCGAAGTCTTCTAAGATGGAAACGCTTCGCTGATCTTGTCATAGGAAGTTCTTTTGGCATCACCAATGACGTCTCTTAGCCAGTCTCACATAAGTCTGATAAATACAAAAGCAGCAGACTATTTCGAAAACCACTTGCTCCAAAAATTATGGAATTTATCTCCCCCTGACACATTTTCTGGCAAGAGACCCGTTACTTAAGTGGAATTTACGAATATCTGATACCCTCTAGGATATCATACATCAGTGACCTTGCCACGTCTTGAGCACACATAGATTCAGCGGTCATTTTAGGCTTTGTGCAACATGTTGGGACGTGGTTCCGTTATACTGTTGGCTATTTATTCGGTGATTTTGGTATCTTCAGAATCCATGGATAATGTTCGACTAGCAGTCTCAAAAGAAATCTTGAATGAATTCGTCTTCCAAGAAAAAGAGATCACTATTCTATATACAATTTACAATTTCCACGAATCGTGAGTTTTTATTTCTTTTAAGTACAAATAATCACCAGTTTCATTGACTAGCACCAAGAACGTGTATGAGTAACTGTGAAGACTCATTTTTAGCAGTGATAACTTAGTACCACATATTTTATGACCTACTGAGACTCACTACGGAAATTCACGGGATCCTTTAAGTTTCTCTCAGTATATCCTCTTCAAAAACATCCACATACTAATAAGGTACACTTAATATTGGTTTGAAGTGCTTGGGTTTGCTTCGCTTCATATTTGTCATAATAGTAAAGTGATATTCAAATAGCCTACGAACAATTACTTATGATTTAGATTTTGGAGTTTGTGTATTTGATACTTAAGACCAACTCGGGTTTTTAAGTTACAGTACATTACTATCGAAATAAGTGGATTGCCTTGTTATCTAATTTGTCATGTATGCAAAACGCAAACCACGATCCTCGCTTTTTCCTCATCCCTATTTAATTAGTTACGAAACAAAATTGCAATGCTTTCTTAAGTATAAAAACAAATATGGCAAATATATAGCTGTAAGAAAAACGTAAAGTTAGTGGCTTATGTATGGTGGGACAACCGAGTAAGCAATGCTGTTGTTAGGTAACGGGTTCTAGGTAAGAATAACAGGTCTCCAGACAAAATATTAAAAACTTCATCAGTTGAGGTGGTTGGGACATGTGTTGCGTATGCCTAACCACTGACCGCCTCGTCGAACTGTATTTTGCGGTGTAGGTATAGGTTAGAAGAAAGCTAGGGGCGGCCAGATCAAAACATGGCACATCCAAGAAGTCACTTACAAGTGGACTGAGTCATGTCGGTAGGTGTCGACCACTTATTTGGGGCCAGCTAGATGATAATAATCGATGATTAGAGACCATGAATGGAATGACTGAAAACCTTCTGCATTGGCGCAGGTGCATTCATTCTTTGTGTTCTCCCGAATCGTAACCTTCTGAATTCCTCATCACTTTTTCTTTTTAAGTTTATTGAGTAATATATTCGAACCCTAATCTCTCCGATTACCGCTAATACCTATACTACCTCTACTACTATAGGATTTGAATTGACAATTACATCTCTGTGCTAATGTGGTATGGGAACATGAACTTATGTACGTACGTACGAAGTTCTACGTTGCTATTGATTGATTGGTTGACACAACGATCGCGAACAGTGGTGAGTAGCGAAAGCAAGAGAGATGAAAAAGGCAACGGTGATAGGTAACAGTAGACAGTTATTTACACTTATCAAAGAAACTGTCGTTAGAAAAGCGGCTGTTAGTGAGACTATCTCGGAAAGGGATGGGTTCGACCGATGGGCAGAACACTTCACGGATCAGTTCAACCGGTCTTCAGCCACTCTTCGTTTACTCACGATCAACGTGAATGATGAATTACTGTGAGTCCTCTGACTCTTAATGAAGTTGAGAAAGCTATAGGAAATCTAAGGCGAGGGAGAACGGCAGACCCTGATAGAGTGGTTGTCCAGTTTTAGCAGTTAGATTGATTGAGATCTTACGTCGAATCTGGGAACTAGACGTAATCCCACCCGACTTGTTTCAATTACTGAATGTGCCAAACTCCAAGAAAGAAAGAAAGTCCTATTGTGACAGTCAGAGAGGAAACAGTTTCACTAATATATTACCCAAAACATCTGCCTCGATGATACTTCGACGCCTAACTAGAGCTCGTAGTGAGCAGACTAGAGAAAACCAGGCTGGTTTTCAACTTGGATGTGGATGCATAGACCAGATATTCACATTACGTCAGCTGCTAGAACATAAACATACGTTCAGACGTCCCACAATAGTAGTATTTCTCAACCTTACATCAGCATTCGACTCCGTCGATCGTGAGGTTCTTTGGCAGTACCTGTCCTTGAAAGGTTTACAAGAGAAACACATTAACCCTATATAAGCCGGGCTGGAGCATATGGCGAACTGTCATCGGAACTGATTACCTTGAGTGGTGTTCGTCAAGGTTGTTCACTTTCCCCATTCTTATTCAATCTTGTCATAGATATACTCTTGGAGATATCACTATCATGTCTGGATTTTCAGGAGTTGAACTTTTACCCAAGGGATTTACTCGTTGACTTGGAATTTGGCGATGACATCGTTCTTTTTGTGGAAGACGGTGACAAAGTGCAGTCTTCTGACCATCCTAAGCAACAATGAAAGCATGTTCGGGATGCAAGCTCGTCAGTCCTGATGGTCTGGTGACGGATGAGATTCCATTACGGAGACAGAAGACTCGACTGGCTTTTGCCAATTTGCGTCACTTACGGCGTCGTCGAGATGTCCGTTTGTTAACCAAAGGATGTATTCACTGTGCAACAGTTCTCTCCGTCCTACTTTATGGTTGTGAAACATGGAGTAAAGGATATTCGTTGGTTACTGATTTTCGACCATCAGTCAGTCAGTCAGTTGCAACGTAGAACTTCGTACGTAAGTACATCAGTTCATGTCGCCATACCACATCAGCACAGAGATGTAATTGTCAATTCAAATCCAATAGTAGAAGAGTTAGTACGGGTATTAGAAGTAATCGGAGAGGTTAGGATGAGAAGATATTATTCAAGAAGTATAATTCAGTGAGAAAAGTTTAGAAAGTCAAAACTAGAGGTGTTGAAGAATCCAGAAGATTAGGATTTGAGAGAACACAAAGAAGATTTTCGACCATAGGTGTCTTGGAAGCATTGCTTACATATCCTGGGACCGTCGAGTAAGCAATGCGGTTGTTAGGGACCGGGTACTAGGTAAGGTTGACAGGTCAATTAAAGAAGTAGCGACTCTTCATCAGTTAAGGTGGTTGGGACATGTGTTACGTATGCTTAACTACCGACTGCTTCGACGAGCGATATTTCGTGATGTAGGAGTAGGTTGGAAGAAAAATAGGGGCGGCCAAACCAAAACGTGGCAGAAATCCATGAAGTCGCTGACAAGTGGACTGAGCCATATTAGTAAGTGTCGACTACTTAGACAGACAGACAGATACAACGCAGAACTTAGTACGTAAGTACATCAGTTCATGTTGCCATGCTACATCAGCACAGAGACGCAACTGTCAGTTCAAATCCAAGAGTGATAGCGATAGTAGAAGTATTAGCAGTAATGAAGAAGATTAAGCAGCGATGAAATGATTCGAGAAGTGTAATTCAGTGAGATAAATTTAGAAGGAGAAAGAGATTATGAGGAATTCAGAAGGTTAGAATTAGAGAAAACAAAATGAGTGGATGCACCTGCGCAATTGCAAACGATTTTGAGCCATGTCGTTCAAGGTGTCTAACCATCAGTGACTTTCGTCTCGCGGACCCCAACCAGGTAGCCTACATATACCAACATGACTCAGTCCACTTGTAAGTGACTTCTTGGATTTGTGCCGTGTTTTGGTTTGGCCGCCCCTAGCTTTTTTCCAACATACTCCTACACCACAAAACACAACCCAGATGTTCAAGCAGGTCGCCAGTGGAACTTATTTCGTTAGTTGTGTATCATCCGTACTAAGGTATTATTTCATTCACAATGTTCTCTGACATATTCTTGTCCTTTTTATACTTTTGCTTGGTTTTTTCTTCATATTGGCACAATCTAATTTGTCTTTATGATCTCATAATAAATATACCTAGTCATTCTCCAATTCATAAACATTTTTATTGTCTTTTTACTCAGACGCGCTGCTAGAGATGTTGAACTATTTGATGTCTTTGCCGAAACAGAATTTACGCTAATTCATGGTAGCCCTTCTGCTCGGTGGCCTGTTATACCTGCCTCTTCGAACGTCACTCATGTTTTAATCCTCAAACCTCAAATAAATGGCGTTCATAATTTCTCTAGTGCTACAATTAATTACAAGTCTAGTGATCTGCAGAAAAGTGCCGTACGCGCTACATTTTTTCTAGTTTTCATATCATATTTCCGATTTCCATGCCATTGTTTTAAAATTATCTTTTGTTTAGTTATCCGTTTTAGTATTTTATATCTTTAATTGATGCATACTGTCATCATCTCGTAGTACATGTAGGTTAGTTGAAGCGTTCTAATTTTTTTGGACATTATTTATTCTCAGGACTACATTCAGTTGCTAAATTTAAGCGTATTATTTTTGTTAAAATATCTACTAAGTTAAGTAACAAGTAAAAAACCTTAAAGTTGCTCGATGTCAGTTCATAAATTTCTAGTAGACTTGGATGTAAAGAATCTAATAAGAAGTAGTGCATTTATCATATACCGGTATCCTAAGCATTAACATCGAATTGTGTCACTTTGAACTAACAACTAGTTACATTAAAAAAAAGCTGACGAAGTATTGATGTTTACAAACACTTGAAAATCATCTAGAAAAATGTTTGGTATCATTGAAATTCAAGTTCGTATTATAGTAACATAGTTAATATTATAGACCTGGCTATCAAGTAAGTAGAAATGACATAATGGTCACATGTCCAATTTGTTTCAGTCTGTCCAAAAGCTAGGATAAATAATGTGCAGTAGTATATACTACAATATCTTTAAGCCCCTTTAGTAGATCTGTTGTCTACTATGAATAAATATCTCGCTCCAATCACTAAATACTCAAGTAAGTTAGCTGACAGAAAGCCAAGCTAGAATATAATGACTTTTAATATGTAAGATCTCTTTGGTGGACAAGGGTCCCCAACCCTCCATACTTTAAGACAGTTTTCATCAAATGTAGAGGAGGATTGTCATAGAAATGACGTTTTCATAGTTGCTTAATCCTTTTTGATGAAAGAAAATAATGTGCATACATGCTATTATTTTCTTTATAGTTTCTGTATTCTTCTGCACCTGGTCTACTTACAATTCACAAATTGAAGGAGTATAATAAGCGTTTCACTTCTCATACGGTTAGTAAAGTTTTACTGATCATGTTAAATTGTACGTTATGTCTGATAATTTTCTTCATTTATTTCACTTTGGGTTATATTGTGGATAAAGCAACTAAATAATATCTTTTTTGAAGCTGTTTAACTTATGTTCACAGTACATAATTACAGCCAACGATTAACATATATTGTACTGCATGAAAAATATATTCCTCACTAAATAAACGAATTAAAAAGGAAAAGGGATATATAAACTAAAAATGAATTTCAGTGTCCTAATTCATAAAAATGTTACTTACTTAAGTTGGAATGACTTTCCTCTCATTCTGAATTCATTTACTTTTGAAAATGCTAAATCAGGAAGAAGATTAGATGAATGGGAACTCCCGGGACTGACTTATGAGTTATTGTTGTTTATGAACTTATTGTATAATTATTCCGTAACTAGATTATATATCTTCCTCTCATTATGATCTTCCGATTAACTCAATATCTATTGTTGTATGATTGATTATTCCTGACCTATTGTTAGTTAATTATTTAGTCACTCGTGCTTCTCATTTTATGGTGTTACCTGGTTGAAATATAACAAGATTATGTGGAAAGTTGGCTTACAGAACTCTGGAGCAAAGACCGAGTAGAAAGAAAAGAGCTATGGAATAGCGGATCAATCAAGATTTAGAGCTTACTCACGCTTTTTGGTGCCAGCCTAATTCTAATTGGTGTTTTATATTTGTTACGTGATAATGATCAAGGTTAGGGATACAACAGATTGCGAGTAATGTGCGATTTTTATCATAATTTAATCCCATTAATAAACTAGAACTATTCAGTCAAAAGAATATTCGCAGAATGGAATGAGTTCATTTCATCAATTAAACCTGGTTCTTAATCTAAGATTTTATCCCATACCATTCTACTTTGTTAATAAAACGAATTCATTGCGTTATACTAATCCTACTATATTTGAAAACTTCAGCTAAGCAATTTACTGATGTTAAGTCCAGGTTAATAAGTTTAGGCATGTAATATTCAATTATACTTGTTCTACTTGGGTAGGGTACTTGGTATTATTTTCTCCCCAATTCTTATCTTGTGAAGTCCCTCTCTTGCTATACTGATGAGATTCGGCATCTTGGACCAATATAGATTTGTGCTAATTATTTCCATAAATGTACTTAAGTCTACGGATAAAATTTTTCACTTTTTTTCTGATAATACTTCACGTTTTTTCATCTTTTGCGTCGTTTATTGGGAATTCTCTTAAATAATCTATTAAAAAGGTTTCGTAAATATACACCTGTATTTGTTGATCACTTTTCTTTACTTTTTAATAGATGGAGTGGATTGGTTTCGCTCTGTTTGTCACACCCTGCTTATTGATACCATATATGCTTTGGCACTCAAGTGCATCGAAATACTAATTCTTTGTAATACTCTTCTTGATCTGTATATTGTTTTTTACGTTGTATTTTGTTTATTCGTATCCAATGTATTTATATATGTTGTTATGTATTTACAGGATAGGGAAAGTATTTGGTGAATAAACATAAAAGTGTATGCTAGTAATGCTGTGGAAATACCTTTGTTTTTTTTTCTCTGCAAATTATATTTCCAAGTAAATTCAGTAAATAGTATTCATCTTCGGCCAATCCATGAGTTTACTCAATTTTATTTTGATCATATCTCTGACATTCCTGAAGTTTGTTTAACTGGAAGGCAAAAATAACCCAATTTAGCGAAGGAAAACAAAGTTTCCAGAGTTATATGTCCTATTTTAATAGTATAGAATTAGAATAATTAATTTAACTGTTGTATTCATTATCGTTGCGAACAATATCTTTACTGTTTTGCATAAGAATGAACTTTTTGGTTACTCCACGGATACGATGAGCAAGATCTTAATTAATCAGATAGTGGTAACCTACGAATTAAGTTCAAATATATTTAAAATTTTCTTGTGTAATTTCTAACATGACAAACCTATTCTTCCAGCTAGTAGTTTTCCCTTCGATTTCAAATTAATTGGAGTCTTGGGTCAACAATCGAAAATTCATTCATCAAAATCACTCATTACACCCACAAGCGTTAAGTCAGTTTGTCTTGACGATCTTGTTAGTAATTGCTGTCTTCGTAGGTTTCATCTGTCTTTGTATGCTTCTTGACTGTCATGTTCGGTTGACCCATGGACGTGTAATTGATTAACCTTTTTCATGTGGATTAGTAGATCGAATATCTGTTTACATGTTTGATCGTCTTTTAGTCTAGAAATCCCCTGAATTTTCTCGATCCGGAATTTCAGTGTTTTCCCGGTTTTATAATTGTCTACAAAAGTCCATATAGTGAACGTAGTTTCGCTGCTAGTCTATGTTCGTGTATGCATAACTGAAGAGGACATCCAGTATAGTATTTCTTTAAGTTGATGTAGTTAGCTTCGTAGACGATGCTGCATTTGTTTTTTCTATACTGTATCTTCGACTGTAAACCGAAAATCCTATCTGGAGGCTCTAGAATTCCAAATACTCAAACGGTTCCTAATTTGGGGAGTGTCTACTCTTCCTCTTAAAATATTCTCATACTGTCACTCGTTTACGGCCTCTGTCTGGAAAGTCATACTCACTGCCGTCAAAATGAAGGTGCTTTTTTGAAAGTGAGAGGAAGAAAACCTTACGTCAAATGCCTAGACCGGCTAGTGAATACCGAAGAACCATGTATGTGTCGGAAAACGTTAATTCCAAATTATTGATGCATATAGGTTTCAGGAACCCCAGGGATCACAAAGTACTTTTACTGGATGCTATGCGACTGACGTCTCTCGATTGATCGTCGGTTAGATTTATAAGTCAAAGGCTCTGGGCTAGATCTCCTCAGGAAATCACTTGCTTCGTCGTGAACACCCGTACGGCACCTCGGCCTACACAGTTGTAGTAGTAAATAGTTAGGGAGAGTGCTTTGTCATGCCGTACTAGAATGTACGCGCTTTAATAGTATTAAGTCGTCTTTCAGTTTAAAAAAATCAGATGTTGGGAAATCTTTTGAAAATTTGGTGTGAACGAACTCAACGTTTTCATGACGGGACAATAAGTGCATGTATCGTGAAGTTTATTAAGATTTTAATTTGCACTTAGGCTTCGCGATTTTTCTAGCCATACTACTTCATTCACTTCAGTAGTATATCCCCCACTTAATAGAGAGGTTTTTAGTATTGCCAAGTACGCTTTTTTACAAAAATATTCAATCTTTACACTATATATATGAAGTGATAAGAAACATTCGATGATGAATTGATGTATTATTCCTGAGGTAAATTACTTGATAACTATATTGTTTTGAAATTAACCTTCCATCTACTTTAACGCTTAATTCCATTATGAAATTGAAAACACCATAAAGTTCATACTGTCAACTATTTATGAGTCATCTACAATTACGGTAATCAGTCAGCTACAACGTAGAACTTCGTACCTGCGTATATCATTTCAAGTCGCCATAGCACGGAGACGGAATTGTAAATTCAAATCCGATAGTAGTGGAGGTAGCGGAAGTATTGGCGGTCATCGAAATGATTAGGCATTAAGGATATGATTCCATAAGTGTAATCCAGTGGAATTAATTTAAAAAGAGGGACGAAATGCTCAAGAAGAATTGAGAAAATTAGAGTCTGAGAGAAGTCAAAAAATAGATGCACCTGTGCTATTGCAAAGGATTTTGAGCCACGTCACTGAAAGTCTCCGAAAGCGGTTACAATTATCTTGCGGACCCTGTCCATTTAGTCTACACATTTGGACATGGTTCAGTCCAGTAGTCGGTGACTTTTTGGACTGCTGCCGTGTTTTGATTTTACAGCTCCTAGCTCTCGTCCAGCCTACCCCTACATCAGACATCGCTCATCGACGGGTTCGGTGGCTAGGCATACGTAACATATCTCGACCACCTTTATTGATGAAGACCCACTACTCCATCAACTGATTTGCCGTCCTTATTTAGTACTATTCTCCCAATCCCACCATTGCTTACCCCGTGTTTCTAGGATACACACAATGCTTCGAAGACTCCTATGATCGAATAATAGTAACCTACAAATATCCTCTGTTCTCACTGGCCATGTTTCACACCCATGAAGTAAAACGGAGCGAACTGCTGTGCAGCAAACATGTCCTTTGGTAAGTAGACGGATATTTCGTCCACACCATAATTGACGCAAACTGGCAAAAGATTGTCTAGCCTTCTGTGCCGAGATTTAGGTACCTACAATCCGAAGAAACAATGTCTTTCTGAACAATTATTGTCAACACAATTTTAACTTCCGAAACTTAATCAATCTGTTAGCGAGTACAAACCCAGCAAACAAATTGTAGCCTGTATCAATTAGTGTGTAGTAAACCAAACTACATCTTTCGAATCCTTACTGCCAGTAATGCAGCATACAATGTCAAAGCATGGCTAGCTGAATATAATTTAATCAGTTAATAGAAAATCGAATAAAGTATCTTTTCTCCTAACTACTGATAGCTGATCAGCCACTGATAAATTTCACCTCATACGGGTAGCTGTTTTTACGGTGTTTCCCACAAAGACAACGAAAATTTAATGACTCAGTTCATTGAACACAGTACAACCGGGAACTTATTTATCTACAAATAATTATGTTTATCTTATTGGGTATCGGACCCCATGAATATCCGTTTCATCGATCAGAATATTCGCAGTTATCTCCAATGTCCAGCAAATTACATATATGTATATGTATATATATGGGCGGGGAAAGCTAAGGCATAGGTCGAATACACAGAAATAAACAAGCGAGTAAAGAGGAGCGTCAGAGCTGAAAAACTGAATATGTGGAAGAGCTTGCAATGATAGTAGAAAACTAAACTAGATTCGACGGATTTTCATGCATATTCAACTCTGTTTATAATTCATAATTAACAGATAAGAATTATCTCAAGTGTAAATGATTCATTGAATTATTAATGAATTTATAAGCAATAAAAATAACATTTTAATGACTGATAAAACTTGTTTTGAAAAATATGTATACACTGTTTGTTAATATTGTTCATTGAAGTTGTAATCACAGAATCAAACGTAAGGTGATTTATTTTCATGCGTTATAACAGGCCATAGTTATTTATTTTACGCTATCCAATACATCTTACGAAATCTTCCTCGTCGGACAGGATGGCAATATCGTTAATCGTTTTATGAAGCAGTCATGATAAACTTGATTTTAAAAACTAATAACACAAACTTTCAGTACCATTACATAAGTCAGTTTTATTGAACAATATTTGAAAGCTGTTATAGTTATTAACTATGCAATTACTATTTCCCGAATAACGTAAGAATACTGAAGTATGTTTTCATTATCAGATACCTATTATATTGAGCCATAGGTCACTCACCACTTTTAAACTTTTAGCTAACTAACTTTTTTAATGTTGGTTTTTTAGTAGATTTGTTTGTTTAGAGAATGACTCTAAGTGACTTAAAGATATACTTAGTTTTTATCGCATCTTGAGAACTTTGGTCCATTATATTGACTTGATCATTGTCGCGTATTGATTAAACTGTAAATGGTTTTTAACTTTGTGTAATTTTTCAAATTTCACAGTTCAAAAAAGTTTTCTGTCACGTTATCATTAATCATATTGATTTTGTTTTTCAACTTCAAGTGATTTTTTGGTGAGAAATTGTGAATAATGAGCTAATAATTAATTATTTTATGAGATAGAATGTAAATGGTTCAGCCTACTGATTTGTGGTATGGGGAACATGTACCAACAGAAGTGAATTACATTATTTACTTGTTTTTCGCCGATAATCTTCGTCTCACATTGGAAGTAATATACTCTTTTATCTCTCTCTGTTTTTTGGGAGTACATCAAATATTTCCACTTAAGCATTTCGATTTGTGCCTACTGAGTTATCTTGATAGGTCTAGATAAATAGTTTTTATTGCATTTCCTATTAAGATTAACTCTTCACCTAAGCAACTTATTGTCAATTATTACCATCGATGCATTCCGACATTGCAGTGGAAATGATCCACGTTACATACAACAAAGTGGTTGGCCTCCTTGTACTTGTCTAAATGAACATAGACTAATAGTGAGGTAACATAGTGTACGTTATTTTCTATTGACGTATGTCAACAATTAAAAGATGCATTTAAACTAAGTTGTAGAAAACTTGAGTTGCTGGTGCTTTGCGTGAACAAAATTTTTAGCATACATTCAGTCTTCTGAAAAATATGGAGGAAAAATAGTAATCAGACCAATGATAAATCAAACGACATTAAAATTTAAAAAAGAAAACACAATAGTCTAATTGAGACAGTAACTATTAACATCGACAGATAAGTACGTAGTGTCGCCTATTTCAAATTACTTACTGCCAATCTTATTCGAACCTTATTGCAGTGATTTTGTTCAACACAAATTATCAAAAGTACCGAAGAAATAGCACATTATCAAAATGAGTAAATATATATCTTGTTCTGTTTTTTCCTAATTCTTCATATATATGTCGACATTTTATGAATATACAGTTTGGATAAGAAAGTATGTTCCCTCTTTTTAGTGATAAGCTAAATAATCTTATCATATGCACGTAAATTTATCTCACTGTGAGTACATAGTCCGTGTAACCGTTTGCATAAAGACTGCCACTTGCATCAACAGGTAGTGCTAAGTCACGCACTATATCAATTTTACGAAAAGAATAGACATTATTGTACCTGAATACAGCTTAAATTACTAACTTTTAACATCAAAGTGTAACAAAATCACTTTCAGTACAACAACATTTGCAGTGTTGCATTAGTGGTTGAATTTTCGGCATATACTGGACGTAAACTGTAAGTGAGAGGTAGATTTGTTCAAATACAGATTCTGAATGATACAAAGAGTAAATTTTTCTGTCATTTCTAGTTTAGAATTCACAGATGACAATTTGATTGTGCAATAAAAATTTTGAAAAGTTCACAACTCTTTTACATAAATACATAAGTAACAAAATAGAATAATACAGCCAGGTGGTATTATATATGGTTTTTAGAACAATGCAGTTCAGCATAGAATTGAGGATTGAACGTTGAATCTAATCTTCCTGTCAAACGTTCGTTTCTCATTTTCTTTAATATCCAGTATTCAAGACAATCATATGCTGCATCGTAAAAACCAGTGTGAAATTTATTTGCGAAAAATTCTTGACGTTTTGTTAAGTTGTACAAATGTTGTACACCTAACATGCATACTGTATGATATCTTTTTCCCGTTACACATTTTTTCGGTTTCCAAATAACAAAACGTGATACAAAAGTTGACTGGTTATCATTTTCATTAGGTGGATAAAAATCTTGACAAGCACCAGGAGCCGATAATTGCGGATTATAAGCTAATGTACTAAAAAACATTTCATCTGGTATTTTCATCAAATGTTGTTCTTCTCTAAGAATATTTAATAATTCAATGGCATAAGGATTCGTATGTACATAACTGACAAATTCTTTACGAAGTGCAACTAAAAAGCTTCCTTTTATCCACGTTACCTTGTTAAGTAATTAAAAAGATGAGTTGAAATGACATATTATTAATGAGAGTTGCATGAGATTAAAGTAGTCATAGAAAACAAAATTGTCTACTCTGTGATGGAAGAGGAAGAATTCGCATCGTCAAGTACTCATCCTGAATAGTTTCGTTAACCATAATCTACATATATACAACTTCCCAAGGTTCTAGCAAATTCGATCCAGTAACCTATTGTTATAAACCCGAACAGATAAATCAGTGTATTGTGATTCGACTGCTAAATATTATTAGTTCATGATATTCAATACAGTTACGTTTCGTGATTTGAAGTATGAAAACAATACAATCTTCACAAATACCCTCTATTAATAACAGTCATGTGTTGACCAGTGACTAATTTTCGGAAGTATGACTGCATTCCTAGTGAGAAACCGTGATCAGTGGAGCGCAATCCGTGTCAAGTGAGACAGTTATCCTTCTTGGGTAATGGATGAGGGTTACGCAGGATCATGGATCAGCTGAAGTTAGGAATTAACAACGTTGAGTAGTTCAGAGGTCGAGCATTCGCGCTCGAGGGTTGTCAGTCAGGAGTTGAATACTAAGACTAAATGTCCGTCCAGCGCTTCCAGGTTTCCCTTGATGGTCTGGCTAACATCAGTCTGTGAATTCAGCTATGAAGATATTACAATTTTGTTTCTACACAGCTTATGGGTTTGACGTAACTTTCAGAATTGGCATTAGGAATCTTAAACAGTTGTTCTGTTTGGTTAGTTAGTGCATTGATGAATAAGGATGGAGTTAAAAATCGATTTTTTCCTTTAATGAGAATTGATTAGCTGAATGGTAGTATAACTGTGTCTAATTTTGTTCAGAAATCTAATACCAGTGAGATTATTCATTAAGTAGGTTAATGGGTTGTCATAGTGAGTTATTCTGAAACGAATGTAAGTCAGAATCTGTTGTACTAAAGTAATAGAAAAGTGGAAATAATTACGATGTTCAATATTATAGCAGCAGGATGTTCATAACAACGGAATGAATTTGATTCTTGATTCACTAAAACCTAACAAAATAAAACTAGCTTAATATTTCAAATCTTGAAAGCACAAATCACTAAATGATTAGAGACTAATCACAGCTTTCCTATGAGTCTAATTAAGACTGAAAACTGTTAGAATACACACACGAACATACTTATGTTTCTTTCTACAGTGAAAAAAAAACATCAGAAAAATCGTACGTAAAATTTACTAATTCATAAATTCGAAAACTATTCAGTAATTTGTAAATTTTTTTTCCAATAATTTCAATACAGTACAAAATGCAAAGAATACTGAAAAGATTACACCTGTTACGTACTTCACATCATCTTTAGATTCATGGATTTAAAAGGTAGTGTTCATAAAACTTTCTGCAATTAGATGAAACCTCTTATTTTTTTTTTTATGAATGTTAATAAATATTTGTTTTAAATCAAATGATTGTTTAACGACTAACAAACTTTAGTGAAAAGCAAATGAATATTACTTAAATCTTCAAACAACTACGCAAATGATCTGGGTACAGTGTATTGTTAAACTGCAATAAGTCATAATATACACGAAAATGTAAGTTTTCGGTTTGATTATTCTATTCCCTGAGTCAATATCTTATTACTTAATATGCCTGAAGGAGAATTTTACCGAATTAGAGTGCACTGATACACAGATACTAAAGACTGTAAATCTCAAATCCAACTCATTTTCATTGATATTACTACTATATTCAAATCAGTTTGCACAATTGAATGGTATCGCCTTCATGTAATAGTACTGAAAACTATTTAATAAAATATCAACTCCAAAGCATCTAGTATGTTCTAGCATGTTTTATCATAGGTCGCTTGTCGACGCATTACTTTTTAATGAGATATGTGAAGAAAGTTGGTAGTAAAGTTAAAAAAGAAAGACTTGAGAAACTAAACCAGTAATCAATTGTTATCAAGACTGATCTGAATAACCAAGCTAGAAGTTATTTGGTTTAAGCCTATTCAGCAATCATAAAAAGTATTTACTATCTACCTTTATGGAATGATTTCATTTCTTGATTGTAGCTACTCAGAAATTTCTTCAGTTCTTCGATTGTTCACGGATATTTTATGTTAGAAGTGATTTCTTTTTATTTTATTTTAATGAATCTGTGTAATTAGTAATTTTTGTTGATATAAATCTTTCATCATTTAATGTTGTAATCTCACAAAATGGTTTCAAACTGAAAAACAACTCACATTGAATGATGGTTTCCTACTAGGAAGTCTTTTCTTTGGTCCATTTTTTATTGTACATCCAACTATATTAGATCCATTCAAAGCTTTTAACGCTTTAATAATTTCCCAGTTAGTATGTAATGGTAATTCTTTTCCATTAATATTCATAACATACTTCCAGTCAATTTTTGTATTATTCAACATGATTTGAGTACATTTAAGAAATGAATCTAGAACGGAAAAATAACCCCATTTAACTGAAACACTTTGAGATCGTTTGATAATTTCAACATTTGTACCATAACATTTAGCTAAGTCAACTACAGACTGATAAAATCTATCTGAAGCATTACGATCTACATGTATACAATATAAATTATGTGGTCTATACAAAAGACGTAACAAACGTGCTACACGATCAATATTTTCATAGACTGCAAAGGCGAATCCAATTGGATAATTCAATTCTTCTTTACTTATCCATAATTTTTGAAAAATTGTACAATCATTCAATGATTTCCATTGATACAAGAGATGTTGTTCTGTTGAATAATGTTCATATTGTTTAGCAAATGTTTGATTTGGTTCTGTGTTTATAAAAGATTCACAAATCTTTGTAAGTTTCACATCTAAGTTTTGATAAGCTAATATTTTATTGTCTAATATTGACCATTCATCTCTCTTATTATCGACAATTTTATTGAGTACGATAATTACAATTAAAATGAATAAACATATATAATGTAGTCTTTTGACAAATAATCTGCGAAAAATTGTATTCAAAATGATCATTTATATTATTATTAGCACGTTTATTAACTACCGGTTAAGTAAAACTTCCTTTCAATGTGATCGATTTCGGTGAATGAGAAATTATTATCTTACTACATAATCAGCGTTAGAACGACAGATTATATTTCCAGCATTATATCCTGTACATACATATATCCATTAATGATCGAATGTAAGATAAAATATCTGATAATTCGATTAGTAAATTAATAAATAATACTGTCTATCGATCATACGTAAGATTCATAAAATTACATTATTCGAAGTTCCTGATTGGCTAACTAGATGCTGTTGGATATCTGATTTGTTTGTCAGTGTGTAATTTTTAAGAAGCAAGTTATTTAGGTAGGTAGCTAACTCAACTAGAAATTGTTCGAATCTCCATATCCTAGTTTTCTTAATCCTAAGAACGTGACTGAATCAAATACATCGCTTCTGTAAATTCACATCAGATTTTATTATTAAAACTTACTTACTTAAGCCTGTTACCCCCAATGAAGCGTAGGCCGCCCACCAGTTTTCGCCAGCCAACTCTATCCTGGGCTCCCCTTTCCAGTTCTGTTCAGTTTTTGTTCATTCTTCTCATATCTTTCTCTATTTCTTGGCGTAATGTGTTCCTTGGCCTTCCTCTTTTCCTTTTGCATTGAGGGTTACATGTGAGGGCTTGTCTCGTGACACAGTTAGGTGCTTTTCGTAGTGTGTATCCTATCCACTTCCACCGCTTCTTCCTGATTTCCTCCTCCACTGGAATCTGGTTTGTTCTCTCCCACAGTTCGTTGTTGCTGATGGTGTCTGGCCAACGAATACGAAGTACTTTGCGTAGACAACTGTTAATAAACACTTGTTTCTTCTTGATGATGGCTTTCGTAGTTCTCGGAGTTTCCGCTCCATACAGTAGAACTGTCTTGACATTTGTATTGAATATTCTGAAATTGGCGTTAATTGATATTTGTTTGGAGTTCCAGATATTTTTCAATTGTAGAAATGCAGCCCTTGCTTTCCGATCCGCGCCCTCACATCTGCATCGGATCCACCTTGATTGTCGATGATGCTGCCCAGATATGTAAAGGTGTTAACGTCCTCCAAGGCGTGTCCATCGAGAGTGATTTGGTTGGTGCATGTTGTGTTGCATCGGCGAATTTCGCTTTTTCCTTTATGTATGTTGAGACCTGGTGCTGCAGAGGCTGCTGCTACACTGGTCGTCTTCTCTTGCATTTGTTGTTCAGTGTGCGATAGAAGAGCCAGGTCACCTGCGAAGTCCAGATCGTCCAGCTGCGTCCTAACTGTCCAGTTGATACCGTGCTTCCCTTCAGATGTTTACGTTTTCATAATCCAGTCGATGACCAGGAGAAAGAGAAAGGGTGAGAGTAAGCAACCTTGCCTGACACCGGTCTTCACCTCAAACGAGTCTGTCAGCTGTCCTTCGCGCACGATTTTGCAGCTGAATCCATCATAAGAATTCCGTATGATATTAACTGTCTTCTCAGGCACACTGTAGTGTCGAGGCAGCCTCCACAGTGTTTTCCTATCCACGCTATCAAATGCTTTCTCCTAGTCGATGAAGTTGATGTAGAGTGGTGAGTTCCATTCAATTGATTGTTTCACAATGATCTGCAATGTAGCAATTTGGTCAGTACACGATCAATCCTTACGAAATCCGGCCTGTTGATCTCAAAGTTGGGCGTCTACGAAGTCCTTCATTCTGTTTAACAATACCCTGTTGAAGACTTTGTCTGGTATTGAGAGAAGAGTGATGCCTCTGTAGTTCTCACACTTGCTGAGATCGCTTTTCTTTGGTATTTTGATCAGGTATCCTTCTTTTCAATCTGATGGCCATACTGATCTCCTCAATTGTAGGTGCGCCAATATTAATTGGGAGGCTATCACTAAAACCAGAAATGGTCAGTCAGAAATATTGCACCATTATGGATGATCGGACATCAGAAAAAGTAAATAAACTTTAGAATGGTAAACTTCATAGTAGGAGTAACTAAAAATCATACAAGTGGTTACATATTTGCCCATATTTTACTGAAAGGAACGATGTGTATACATCATAGGAAACCACCTCAATCCAAGTGACACGCAAGATTGTAAATTAAAGAACGGCCGCTATTGTTTTTTGTTTATCAAAATAACCATGAATGTGGCAATCGGAGGAAGTTTTAAAGAGGTTATTCAGTCTGGTATAATTTCCCAGTTGAATACAAACAAAATGATGGATATCCTGAAAAAGTTTGTTAAAACAACGGTAAAATGTGAGTAGAAACGATGATGGAAGTATTCAACGAATTCATTACATGACCTCGAATGTATGGAATACTGAAGTCCAGGTACTCTTCGTATGAATTTCGAATTCAACTTTACTCGATACCAATATATGTAAATGAACTCGGTATGAGTCAAGTATTTGGGTACCAGTAAAATAAAAATCATATTATTTCGAAGGATGGTCAATGACATTGTAAAGTCCTTTCACTGAATAACTGTTAACATTCCAAGTAAACTGGACGAAGGTAAGTTTCCAATCTGTTTTAAGACGTGATATGGTTGATTACGAAATTCAAGACAAACGAGAGTTAGAAATGTGTCAAAGAGGAAGGAAATCTGTTGAAATTTCCATAAGAGATACTCTTCAGTACACTGTAATACAATCTATCAGTCGAAACTCAAAGAGTACAAGTAAATAAAGTGTATATATCAGTAACAAACTTGGCCGACCGCAGATCATAACAAATGGTATACCGTGTACATATTAGATAACTATGTACATGGATAAGGAAAACGTTAAGTTTCAGGATTATATGACGTGTTAGTGAAATCTCAGAAAACAATGAATTTATCGTAATAATAATTACTATTCTATCATTTTATCTTAACACTTGTGAAGTAACATAGTAGAGTGAAAGTCTTTTTATTTTATGATTACGTATGAACATTTGTTGGACAATCTGACATATAGTTCAACTTTTCAGAGGTAAAGTTTAGTGCTTAGATATCATTTTTAAACTTGATCGCAAACCAACACCAACGGCTATTTGTGATTCATTATTTCACATGCAGAAGAGAAAGGTTTAAATGTGTGTGTTGTACGGGATCACAAAATGAATGTCTTGTCCCGAAACATTAATGAACGCCTTTATATTTCCGCAAATTTGTCCATTAAATTTATAATCATCAGGAGTATTTGTATTCCGTATACAAACTAGTAATACCCAGAAATTCCCAATTCGTACTCCAGTAGACATGTATGTACCAGTATTGAACTCAGGAAGAACTACGTAAGCACGAACGAAAGTATTGGATTTCGAATATGAATTAGGCTCTTATTGATGTAAAAATGAATTACTGTTCTATAAATCCAGCACAAAATGGTTGTAGGAGACAATAGTTTAGTAATAGTGACCTAGAAATCTAACTCAGGATGTGTCTTTCCTCCTATTCTGAACTTATCAGATGAATGTATATGTATTCAAGTCCCGATATTCTTCCCAAGAAAATGTACTATAAAGTTTATCAGGATTACATACTTTCTGAAGTCACTGGAGATTTTCATAAGTAGTTGCATATTTAAAGTAATGTGAGTATTCCGATTTATTGATTGAGTAACCTGTTCAGCATGTGTCAATATTACGCTTGAAGGAATTGATGGATATTACATCAAAATTACATCTGCATGATTTGAATGATAGTGTCATCGGATTTTGGTGATAAATTTTACTGAGATCGACTTTTAGGACCCAAAACAGGTTCACAATATGGTATAAAATAAAATCATCTACATGAAGTCCAGACTAGTGGTCAAATAACCTACCTATTGTGTAGGTACAATTCAATGTTGGTTGATCAATGTTCCAGATAGATAGAACTTCTGAAAAGCATTGTTAGTAAGGACAAACAATATAATTAGTTTAAATCATATATTACCAGAACGTTCACTTGACACAGGCATATTTTACGGGTTGTTTCATACATTTGATCAACTATAACGTCAACACTATAATTTTTGAATATTTTATTAACCGAATATATACTACGGAAAAACATAGGCACAACTAGGTAACAACACATAAGTCATAAAAAATCATCGTTTGCTTAAAGTTTTAGTTTTTCAAATCGAAGTCATTATTCTTGTATTCCATTGTTAATTTGATTTTACAACAATTTTGGTGATTTTATTATATTAGAGAAAAAAATATAATTTTTGTTACTTCTTCTTCAAGACAAAATTCTTGGTACATCTTTACCAACAAATGCTTATGTGACAATTTCAAGTGAACTATGATTCTATGTATACAAAGTTACTAACGGATTTTTTAAAAAGCGTAAATTATTATGAATCATCTAGTAATTGGAAGTAGTTTCTAAGTTTTTTTTTATATTTCACATTTGACCTTTAACCTTGAAATTAAACTTGACGCATGATTTTATATGGTACACTAGTTTCGAGAGCATGATCTAAGAAGTTTTATGTACATTTGTTTATTATAATACCATAGAAATTAATAATTCATTTCAAAATTTATTCAAAGCTTTTAACCATAATCGAACTATTCGAAAAAAAATATATATATATATATATATTCAATGACAAAAGTGATGTATACTATTGAAGATGTGTAAGATAAGGTAATTTGATTGAAAACACATGAGTTTCGTACACCTTTGTTAATCATGCTCCTCTTATTATTACTACATGTTGACTGGATAAACCGTTGAGATAGTAGAGGAAATTTGTAACTCAGGTGGATGATTATTGTAGAGTTTTATTCTCTGAGTTGGATAAACCTTTATTTGAAGTGAGTTTAAATAAGACAGTAGATCACGAAATATTCATTCATGTATGTACCTACTTCAAAAATTGCAAAATAAACTAATATTTTACATTAAAGGAAATAGATTTTTATTAAATTAGATTGGGCGTTTTGCGGAATATTTGTTATTGACATGTACATTTTATTATTATTATTATGATTATTGCTTCAGCATAGACTTCTTTCATAAGTTCGATTAACTGTACATAAAATTATTAGTATTTCAATGACCCTTCTTTTGACATGTCTAATAATTTATTAATTAAAGTTTTTTCAGCCTGTCTTATTTATTCTCAGTAACAAGTCCCTAAGTAAATGTACTACATAGTTAATGTAAATGTGTCAATATGTAGGTTTTTTTATATTGGTTAACTTAAAAACTAAGTCTTACATTTGCTATATTACTATTTACATAGCGAATACTCCTCTTTAAATATTGCGCATATTTTACTACACAGTGAAGATTATGTAGTGAGTGATAACTTTGATATTTTATTTTGTTTCATATTTTGAGACTGTTAATTATTCGGAAAATGCATTTTTTAAAAAGTTGAAATGATACATTTATGCAACGAAATTAGGTGATTTTCATACGGTGTATATGTAACGGGAGTTTTTTAAAGTGAGAAATATATGTTTCTAGTTAGTCAGAGAATACTTAAGCGTGATTATATTGTTCTAAATACAGGTTGGAACTATATGTGGATTTTTAAAATCTCACTAAATCTAATGCAAATCCCAACTTTTTGAGAAGAATTTCGCATACACTTTTCAGCATCTTAAACTGTCATTAACTGAATGTCACCAACTTAAAGTACACTGAACCTTTATGACAGATGATACCAGGAACCTGTTGTACGCTGCAATATATGTCCTTGTTGAAGTGTTTGAATGACCGATTATCCTAAAAACAAAGATTCCATGCGTCTGACTTCATACATAGAGTAGGCATTACAACTAATAAAAACAAGATTTTTCAGGTTTTAAAATCCATCGAAATCAACTGAAAACGGGAAAGGATTACTGAATTTTTAGCTTATTAGTTGAGAATGATAACTAGTTGGTCACAGATAAAACATGACCACACATTAAGGAGATCTATCTGACCAGTATATTTCAGTACTGGAAATAATAAAAATAAAGTTCCTGAGAAGAAAATGTATGGAATGGAGTTTTATTTTAGCGCATAACTCTTCTGGCTTCCGAAGACGCATCTTGTTGAAAAACAGGCCTTCAATTTGTTTAACTGATCCCTTCAGGTGACTTACTGAATGGAAATGTTTTTGAACACTTTGCAACTACGTCATAAAGCGACTTCGAAATCTGGACTTAATTTTTGATTTATTGGTTACAGCTTTCCGAAACAGATGGATTTCTTCCAACGACCTAACTTAAGAGTTTGTTAACAAAATATTTATTTTATTACTAATCTTTTGAAGCCTTACAAACACTTTAAAACCAGTGGTGGTGAGGTGAACCTAAACATTCATTTTTGGTTCCATTTGAAGCTTCTCAAAAGCTTACAAATGTGGTAGTCAACGGGTAAATGCAGACCTTTGTAAATACACAATCAATATGATAGAAGCGTTGGAATTTCACTGCAATTCCATAGATTTTTTTCTGAACAGAAAACGAAATAGATATGTACGTTACCAATATGGGATGTTATCAACTTCACCGTTAACTTCACTAGTGGATAAGTGTTGCATATCACAATCTGTTTTATTATTAAAAAACATAAATTCATAATAAACCTTGATCCATCAAGCTAAAATGATAATTTTTATTACCCGGCTGTTTAAATGTGTACATTTAATTTCTTCTTGACAGTGAGTCCCACTGATTAAATTTGACATATATTCGAAATATGATTTCTGAGACTGGATACCTTTGTTCTACAAATAAAATCGACTTACATCAAATGATGTCAGTTGTGTATGGACAATCCTCAACATACACTTTTCACCTAGTCGAACTGTAGGTTACGTAATGTACTAACATTTTGAAAATATCGATTTCATAGCATGTGATCATATTTATTACACTGGGTACACATTGCTTAAATCTAAACTTGGTGAATAGTATCTGTTCGATATCTCTCATTTTACAATAAATTCTTCAATGTAAGTGTATTATCTTGAGATTAGTAATTACGAGTACTGAAATTAGGTTACATGTACAGAAACATGTTTCATGAACAAAACGAAGCAAGTATTATGTAATCAGCTGTTCCTTTGACTATATAAGAGCAAATTAACTATTAACTCTCTTTTTATAATGTATACACTTATCAGTTCTATGCGAAATGATATCATATATCTATAACAATTCAAGAAAACGTTTCATGACTAGAAGATTGCAGTCAGTCCTGAACTATAATACTTTCGACATTCTTATCGTAGTCATAGTGATATTAGAACTAATTGTGATTGTCAGATTATTGTATTCGGAATCACATGAAGTTCCCTCAACTATTCAATATCAAAATATGAGAAGTGAATCCATAGAAACATGTAAATCGTTTTTAAAAGATACAGTAACCAACCAATCACTTGTCGATCACTTCGAATTTTATTCAACACGTAACGACCGCTATCATCTTTGGAATGGTTCCGAATCTTGTGATAACTTCAAACAATTGATTGATCAACCTGTCTGGTTGAGTGACGAAGAGAAATCATATCCAATCGCATATTCCCTACTAATTTACGAGGATGTTGAATGGACAGCTCGACTACTGCGTTTAATTTACCGTCCGAACAACCTTTATTGTATTCATGTGGACAGGAAATCTCCTGAGTGGTTTTATGAGGAAATAATTGAACTGTCTCGGTGTTTCGGTGTTAATGTACTAGTTGTGAGTCGATCTGTGAGTGTCCGTGTGGTTTGGGGACACTATTCCGTATTGGAAGGTTTTCTCAATTGTGCTAAAATGTTACTCGACAATCCATATGTTAATTGGCAATATTTGATTAACATCAACGGGAAAGAATTACCATTACGTACGAATTGGGAATTAGTAGTTGCTTTGAAGGCGTTAAATATGTCCAACGTCATTGACTGTGCCAAAAGAAATGCTCCGATACAAAGAATTCCTTTAGAACAACCGAATTTCCTAGTAAGTTCAATTTTAGCATTAGGCGTACGGCTATTCTTTTTAGTTTTTGCTATTCATTGCAACTGAACGGCAGTAATTACTAATGACCTAATTGAGTTTGTATGTTAGCAAAACAGTCTCATAAGTCAGATATTTGTGATGTTCGAGGAAGTTGTAAATCGTATTTGAGAAGTATATGTATTCAGAGTGTTTTAACCGTTATGAATATAGGACTCTTAGTAAAGTTGTGGTAATATACATTGCATAAACGGCTAAATGCATCCATTGTAGTAGGTGCATGCGAATATGAAACAGTTTACAAAAATACTAGTCAAATACTATTATACTGCTAACTTACATCATGAATAGATCACTACTGATTATCAAGTGGGAAAAGCTGTTACATCTAGGTAAAGTTTTGTTTACTTAGGCCTATTACCCGGCTTAGAACATAGGCCGCAAATCACATTATATCCATGTAGATTTTTATAAATTTTTATATTTCACCATGGAGTAAATCATGTACTTCAGCTTAGGGGCTCTGGTAAAATGTTTAATTTTCACCGTTAAACTTCAGTGAAGTACTGCTTGGAATCATCCTAAATGATTTGAAAAAGCTTGTATTTTTACCTCTATTTAAAGATTTCACTTTTTTCCGTTAGATTAGTTGAAATCGCTCATCAGTTAGCTGTACATTTCGATAGTTTGTTACCAGTTATGTGTAAGTTTCAGAGCATAACTCTCTTCTAAATATATACTTTTCTGAGGTGTACTTCATTGTACGTTGACATTTGAAAAAATAAATGTGGATTAATAGTCTCATTCTAGCTGTTAACTTGAGTTGGGAATGTTGATCAGTTATCGTGAATTCATTGGGAAAGAAAAAATCCTGTGTTTGATCGAATGTGCGTGTTCATCGGCACACAATGTAAATACCCCAATGTAATGGCTCGCATTTTTTAATAATTTCATCATTTACATCAATATTTCAGCTCTCTGGTTGTTGATGTTAAGGACCGTAATTAAGATCCACGTCCATTCAGTTGATAAATTTCAAACAATTCGAAACATATGTGATAGATTCCACCATAAATCACAATCCAAATATAAACATTACTCTATTAGTTGTTCATATGTGATATAAACTACATTTATATTCAGCAAACTATTCAAAAATCACTTAAGTACATGTTTTGAATGATAATTTGTTAACTTACAACCAGTTATATTTGTTGATTATCAAAATACTCATAAATTTTACAATAAGAGAAAACTATAGAGAATAACTGTGTTTACTTCGTGATGAAAACAGATGGATAAAGCCTTCAGTGTGTAAATATGATATTATTTCGGTACGTTTTTTAAACGTTAGTGATTCATAATTTCGTTGTAAATAATGTTCTAAGTGCGAGTCAAGCATTAAAATTAGTGTTGATTAAAATGGTTGTGATTTTTGTAGTAGATTATTGAGCTTTGAGTTTATTCTGATGTTTTACTAAACCATTCTATTCACTTTAGGTCAACTGGACGAAAGGTAGTTTCCATGCTGCCTTACGGAGAGACATGGTCAACTACATACTTCACGATAAACGAGCATTAGAATTGAGAAACATTTTCAAGCAGGAAGAAAATTTAATGAAAGTCCCAGATGAATTGTTTTTTAGTACACTGGCGTACAATCCACAACTCGAAGCTCCAGGAGCATGTCTCAAGTGTCACGAGTCGACTGAGAATGATTCTCGTGCATCATTTGTCGCTAGATATAAAATATGGTGGCCAAATTATTGTGCAACAGATCAAATTGTTCGTGGAATTTGTATTCTTGGAATACAACATTTGCATGACTTCACACAACGGCCTGAATTCTTTGTAAACAAATTCAATCCCGGATTTTATGAATTTGCATATGACTGTTTGGAATATTGGATTTTAAAAAAAATGAGACGAGAACAACTGACGGGTGAATTAGATGTAGGATTTGATGCAAAATTTTATAGCAGACTATTTTGTTCCAGTGATCACATTTAAAATAAAGAACTTATATAAGAAATGATGTTTCTGACTTACTACTAGATATAAATTATCAGATGATGAGGATTATTTTAGCTAATTTTTTCTGGTTCTATAACTTTTAATTCAAAGTTGTTCACATTAGGGATTTGTAAGAAGTCAAACTTATTGATTACTTACGACTGTTACCCCTCGTTCAGCTCAGTACACCTAAGAATCTCCAGTCAATTCTTTCCAGGGTTTTCCATTTCGCTTACTGTCAAGTGCTATTTATTCTTTTGATTCGAAGTTACAGCTTGCTTTGCGATTCGGTATGATGATTTCTGTAAATTCTGACAGCTCAAACTCTAGCGTCTTTTCATAATTCCCTCCTCAGTTCGAAGCTGCTTTGTTCCCTACTTTATTGCTGATGGTGTCTGGACAACGGGTATAGAGTATCCTTCATTGAGAGCGATTCACAAATAGATGTACCTTTTGATGGTGATTGTAGTAGTTCTCCAAGTGTCAGCTCCGTACGACCGGAGTGCCTTAACGTTTATACTCAAAATTCTGACTTCGGTATAGGCTGACAGTTGGTTCAAGTTGCAGTTGTTCTTCAATTTTAAGAATATTGCCGTCGTTTTTTCTATCCGTGTCCCTATATTTGAATCAGATCAGCCTGAGCAAATGCTTGAAGGCTTCAAACTCATGCAAAACACGGCTATCAATTGTAATTTAGTTGGTAACCAATGTATTGTATTTCGAGATCATGCTTTTCCACTTGTGAATGTTAAGACCTTCCACTGTGGAGCTACTGATATACTAACTGTAATCATCTGTATTTTTTCATTTTGTATGAGATGGAAGAGTGATGATGTTTGGATCATCCAAATAAATCTGAAAAAGATTCAATAATTTTATCTTATCCACACTATCGAATGCTTCCTCGTAGTTAAGGAAGTTGATGTAAAGTTATGAGTTCCATTAAAATTGATTGTTCTTCAGTGATCCATAGTGTCGCGTGCGATTCAGTTAGTAGATGATCGATCTTTACGGGACCCAGACTGCTGATCTCGAGGTTTGGCGTCTACTGAATCTTTCATTGGATTATTCAACACTTTTCCGGGCATTTAGGGAAGAGTAATGCCACTGTAGTTCTCACACTTTCTAAGATCTCCTTCTTTTGATATCTTGATGAAGTGTTTTCCTTCCCAGTCTGCTGGTACTTGTCCTCCTTCCTGAAAATTGGTGAAGTGAACATGGAGTATCTGTGAAGTTGCTACTATGTCTGCTTAGAATGCCTCAGCTGGTATGTTGTCTGGCTTTGCAGCTTTATCACTCTTCAGTTATCCGATGGCCATGGGTTAGCAAATATATTGAAGTTCTGTGTTTGCTGATTCGATGGTAAATGTGTTCAGTGTAGCTCGTCTTTTCAAGAAATCCACCCACCTATTCTACTGTTCTGGGATCTCGGTGATTGCATTGTCTTCTTTGATCGTGACTGATATCTCTTGTTTAGCATATTTCACTGTGAGATATTTTTTGTATCATATAGCTGCCTCATGTCTCCTTCTCTTGCGGCTTTTCCTGTTATCATTGTTAGATCTTCCGCATATTTACGCTTGTCAGCTCAATTTCCCTTTCTTGTTTAATTCTGTGTATTCGGCCAGTGTCTTGACTTCTTCTGACTTTGTTCGGCTGATGTTAATTTATGCCTCTTCTTGCAGCTTGTCACTACCTGACACGTCGAAGTTATTAGTTGTTTAATCGCTTTTTCATTGTTCTCTATAGTGATTCACTCTGAGACTTAGAACTTGTTTCTGTGGGCTACTCTGGGTTTTTGAGTTTTTCAGTAGCCCAAATAAAGGCCATACCGAACTTTTTTTAATGCTGTTTGCTCCGTTGCACAGTACTTCTGTTGCTATAACTAAGTGATGATATGAAGTTATGTCAGATGCTTTCTTTGTTTTCACGCCTTCCATGGTTCTTCGAAACTTTTAAAAGATATGGATCTGATCGATTTGGTTCTGTGTAGTGTGATCCAGTGGAACCCATGTGGCTTTGTGTATGCTTTTGTGAGAAAATATAATGTTTTCTAAAATCATTTTTTCGAAGACACATAGATTTGAGAATCGCTAACAGTTTTCGTTCATTTCTGCCAGTCCATGTCGTCCCATGATGTCTTCATATCCATTATTTTCCATTCCAACCTTGGAGTTTAGGTTGCACATCAGGTTGATCAAGTTCTTTCCTTTCAAATATCTAATTAACCTTCCTGATCCCCCGTTTTGCAGGGACTTTTCATGTACCTACTTTAATTGTTGCTTCAGCTGTCATCTATATAGCCATTTGTAAAGAACCTCAGCTTTACGATGAGTTCTCAAACTCTTCTAAGTTAAGACCCTTGAACCATCATGGCAGAATATATATGGTTAGACTTGTTTTTTCTAGTAAGTGCTTTTACGGCAAGGTTTCCTCCTATTGGATAGGGCAAATAGCCTTGAACTTAACCCCGTTCTTTGATTTGGGAAAGGAGAGGAAAGTAACCGTAGAAGGGCTCCAACAGGAGTTTGTTCAGTAATCTTACGGACATTGTAATCGATATGTGGCTTATATTATTTCACTGATACATCTAATAAAGATCAGTTAATAAAGTGACTAAAGAGGAGTTAGATCTGCAAAACCTAATTGACTGTCAGGCTATTGTCTGCATTTATATTATCACCATGGATATCAAGAATATTAGAATGTTTTGTCCGTAATATTGATAATAGCAATGTTTTTAGTATTCACAGTAATAGTGACATTGAAAGTAGTAAAAGTAGCCGTAGTAGAGAATATGTAGGTAACACTGTTTTACACGCTGTTGTTATATCAATTTCTTGAAAACATATTAAAGGTACGATTAAGTTATGCACTGTGATCCATCTTGTAAATCTTCTGAGTATTGCAATGCACTGGACAACAATTTCTTCATGTTTAACTCTTAATTGGTGCACACCGAAATAAGATTTACATGACATAAAAAATACATCATTGAGTCTCACTGAAAGTAAAACCACATTGATTCACTGTTTTAGATTACGATGGTTCATATTTTCAGCGTTACTTACCCAATGATGAAGTGTTAACCTTTAGTTTCATAAACGATTTACTACTATCTTACTACAAGTTTGGTTAGCTCCAATGTTCTTATCTTCCAACTAATACTTTAGGAAACTATTATAGAGGACACCTTACAAACACTGGAAAATGACTGGTTTAGTAAGAAAAAACGAATACTTCAAATTCACATTTATTGTCGAATGATCATGTTTCTGGTCTACGGTGTTTAGCAGTGTATATTTAATAGTTATGAGAGCATCATTGACTATTATTGAAATACCATCAACTACTTTGTAGATAAATAGCTTTGATTAAAGTAATTGAAAGAGTTTACAATGTTTTGATTGACTAATTATATTGTGTAATGAATAAACATCATAGGATTAATGCAGGTCATAGATTCAAAAACCATTATAAAATTAGTGTGATCCTGAATATAATTATGTGATAAATGGTCTTCATGACGACATATTAATCAAAGTACTTCTGAAAAGCCTTCAGTAGTTGTACATATGACAAAAAATAACATCAAATAAAGTGTTCAACAAGCATTTCTCAAAAGTCAGCTGTCACTCCCTATTATTTACGATCTTACTTTGATTAAATAAGACAGTTTCCCTCATTGGGATCAGAAACGTAAATTGTTTCTTCTAATATTAGAGAATATGAACTATGCTCTTTACTAGAAACAAAAACGAGAGTTATGTAAATTTCTAATAGCTAAATGTTAATGAGATAAAAGTCAAAGGGTATGTGAGATTTTTTATGCTGTATGCTACGATTAATTTGCTTGCATAGTAATACAACACATGTTCTGACCGTAATCATTTGGTAGTGGTTTGTTTTTCAATTGAAGAATTTATTTACTATCAACTTACCATCATTTAACAAGAGCTGTAGTATTTAAACTTATCCTAAGTTGACCACAGGTTTTAGATGGTGGAGAACATTTGTAGCTCGGGTGGAATGATTGTGGTGGTGTTTCATTCTCTGAGCCGGATGTTTTGGTTGTGAAGCTTTCATTGTTCTTCTGAACAACATCATCAGCACAAACATCACAAAGAAGGGAAGTATTCGAATTTCTCCACGTTTGACATGTAGCCTGTTCTGCTAACCTCGATCTTGATTGGTTGCTGTTGACCTTAAGTCTGTGATTGTTTGCACCTTTGTGTTGATTGTATCCCCATTTTGACACCTTTCTTGATAACCTGTCGCCTATAATTTTTCTAATTGGTTGATAAATTGGGTCAGTGTCGATGTATTTGTTGATTGCTGATTGACCTGAGTGCCAAGCTTCTAAAAATTCCCTAATGTTTTTCGTCCTCCCCCTATCTAGTATTTCCACATTGTTCCAATCAAACGTATGTCCATAATTGTCGGTGTGTATTGATGTATTGGTATATATTGATATTGGCGTTTGACTGCCAATTGGTGTTCACGTTAACGAAGCTGAAGAGGCAGTCCACTCTGTCCAATGTAGTGTTTTTCACAGTCGGATCAATTTATTTTTAGACGATATTTGGTTTTTCTTCTTTTATCATTTTGCCCTTTGGTCTACATAGGATTGATTGAAGCGATTCTGTTGGTCCGTATGCCACACCTATTCTAAATGGTTTCAGTAGTCGTGCTGTATGCTCCACTATGTCTTTTATGTATGGTAGGATGATACGTTTATTGGTTCGTGTACTTGATTTCAATTCTGTTGACGATATCATTTGGCGTTTTTTGTTGAAGTTGAGTGGATAGCCGTTCTTTTGGAAGATGGTCATTAGATATTTTTCTTCGTTTCTTTATGCTTCAAGTGTGCTGCAGTGTGTCTTCGTTCTCTTGAACAAAGTTTGTATGCGGGCTCTTGGGTTGTTGCTATCGTAGTTGAGAATTAGTTCTGTGTGTGTTGGCTTCCGAAATACTTGAGTTTCCAGTTTTCCTGTGTTAGTTCTGGTTATTAGCACATGCAGGAATAATAGACTGCTGTTTGATTCCTCTTTTATGGTGAATTGTATGTCATGGAGGACGTTGTTGATCCGATTGTAGATGTTCTCTATCTCATTCCTTTTGGTAATGATGAATGTGTCGTCTACATAGCGAACCCACATTACTGGTTTGATCACGGGTAAAACCTGCGCTTCTAGTCTCCGCTATACAGATTCCGCGATGAGTCCTGATATTGCTGATCTAATTGGTGTTCCTTTTGTTTGTTTGTGGACTCTATTTTTGAGTTGAAAATACGTTGTTAAGCATGGATCGACGAGTTCTAGAAGACTTTGGCTCTGAGGTTTCGTATATTTTTTAGGCTTGTGAGGAGCAGGGGAAGAGTTTCTTTGGTTAAGCTTGGCTCTATTGAGGTGATAGCATGTTCTGCCAACAAGTTTCAGATACAGACCACCAATCAATCGCCCAACTGAATGGCGAATAGCGGAGCGAATTGGAAGACACATGGTACAACTAATGATCACCGATGCACACTACATATATATATATATATATATATATATATATATATATATATATATATATAAATGATAATCCTGTTCATTAGTTCGCTTACTCACTCGCACATCAGTGAATGCCCGATGAAGTTTCAGAAACACCATGTTTGTGTTAAAATATATATATATATATATCGACAGATTAGTCCGTCTCGCAGTAATCCATATGGCAACAATAAACCTGTTATTTAAAAGCAAAATCAGTTTCTTGTGTCATTAATGTATTTCACCTGGTATCGATTTAAAACGATTTAAAAACTAATGGGTTGTAGAAAAGTAAATGTAATTGCAAACACATCATTTCTCGCTGTCTTAATAATTATTCCACTATATTGTTTGTCACTCCTCAACTGTTTATCGGTGGAATGCTTTGCTAAAGCAAACTAGAATTGCACAGTTTCTGTTATACGCGTCATTTGAATCATTCAACATGAACAACGTTAAATTTATCAGTAAACATTTTTTAGAACTAGTTCCTTATTGAAAGTGCGTCTGTTCTGCATCTTCATAGTCTGACAGTAACATTATTACTTTATTTAACATGGTGTCTAGCGCTGAATGACAGTTGCTTGAGTTTTCTAATGAAATTGAGTCAATTTATTCTGTCTGAATTCAACCAGGTACTTACATAAAGCAAACAGTTGTCTTTCTTGATAGCTAGAATATTCCAGATGAATGAACTTACCACAAGAAATTAAAACAGATTTCAGTTGAAACTGGTCGATCGTGATTATTACAATATCTGATTTCTTTCTTCACAAACCCTATAGAGATTTACGTTTATCAACCAATCGGATCGCATACAATTTGGGAAGGGAAAAAACAATGTTGATTATCTTTTTATTATATATATATATATATATATATATATATATATATATATATATGTAAGGTTTCTTGAAATATCTGAAATGAAAATAACCTTTAGATTTCTACTTGTTTCACAAATAATTATTTACTGTTGTTTAAGTGATTGCCAATTAACAAAAAAGCGAAATTATTATATGCTGCCCAATGTGTATACATTTTGTGAAGCTAACAGATTTTGTTATGAACAAGGATTGTCAGTCGGTAAACGTTTAAAACTACCAGTGTCTAAAGATCTACCATATATTCTTGGAAATACAAAATTGGAAACATTTTGGTTAGAATATAATGCATTATTTACACCACGTATGAATGATTCAGTCAGATGGCAATATCACAGTTCATCAGTCGAAATAGCTGATCTCCAACAAACGAAAAATATAAATTTCCCATTATCTGGCAGTGAAAATGGACCTTATTGTATGATTCACACTGAAGGAAGCATACTGAAAGGAGTTCACTGTAATAGTGTTAACCATGTTATTTGCATTGAAGCGAACATACATGTCAAACATTTGTCAGGCATTGATTCATCAATTTTATTGAAGAAATTCACCATTGAGCAAGAGGTTAAGTCAACCTATGTGTCAATGCATAATCAGACAGATGGCTGTTATGAACTGTCCACAAAACAATGTTTATATAGTTGCATTTTACAGTGGGTTTCAACTAAATAATTTCATATTTTAATATTATTATATTGAAATAAGTTTAAACAATCTATTGTTCGTTATTATGACTTACAAGTCTCATATTCTACTAACCGGTATCGACCTATCAATAAGTTGATAAAACAAAATTAAAAAGTAGTTTTAAAGGTAGTATGCGTAAAAAATCTTTTGGGAAAAATGAATGAATATTTTAGATGCATATTTACTTTCACTTATGTATAAGATTCTTGTTTACAATGATTTATTTGAAATATCAGAAGTAGTTATTCACTTTCATTAATTTGTTTTCCACATTAAAACCATCAGTGTGGTCGATCGACCTACGGATTATAAGTCAAACAACGGGCTTTATCAATTGTCTTCCATCTCATAAGTTTGGATGGAAAAAACTGATCCTATGAACAGTAGAAAGCCAGTCAAGTTATGATCAAATATCGTTTTCACTCTAATCTTTTGATAAATTTCGCTCTAAATTGTTATCCATACAATACACTATTTTAGGATTATTTATAAATAAAATGAAGATAATTTCTTGATAAAGTTTAATTTAAATTTTAGATGTGCTGAAACTGCAAATTGTTTGTCAGGCTACTTCAATCAATCTGAAAACCAATGTATCATTATTTTATATCATCACAGCTTATTACCTCATCAATATTCAAATCGCATATCTGATTGGCTCAGATTTTCACTTTCATAATGAGTAGAACCAGAAGTTATAGTTGATAATCTTCTTATGTAACTGACATCATTAATACACATTGTTGTACTCATTAAACGCTGTTATCGAATAAGAAAAGTGAAAAAGAATTATTGTAGTTTTACATGTTTATTAAATTGATGGTTATTATACACTCAAATAACTGATTCATTTTATTTCGGATTATTTTCTTTATTGTGTTTTCTGTTGTTAAAGAGAATTGCTACTATCTAAATTATAAAATTTCTGTTTTTTATATAGTTTTAAAATATAGCTTTTACTGTTTAGGTTGTTATTTTAATTCATGGAATAATTTAAAATATAAACAAAAACACGAAGATTGATGCATTGAAAATTCAATGACCTTCTACAAACATTATGATGTTAAACAGAAAAAGATTATTTCAACAATAACATCACTGGATGTCGAATCACGAAAGTCATGGATGAGCACTTCTGAAACATCCCATATTAGAACGAAACGATTTTCTGAGGTTTTCAGGGGTCTAGTTAAGATCAATTCTTGATTTCAACTATAAATATTATTTACTTATTTATTTCATAGACATTTGATTTATTGAATGAACATAAAACAAAATGAAAGGAGATATAGAGTTTCTGTAAAACACTTACGAGGTGTTCACAGAATAATAAAGAGAAAGTTCACACTTAATTAGTCAAGGGAATATTGATCTAAAACAATGTTATACTGGAGAGTTTAAACTGAAAATCGTTCTGACAAAAATGTTTCATCAATAATAAAACTAATTTCATGAAATGTTACGCTGAGTTAGAGGAAAAATTTTAAGTTTGTCTTCTTTATCCAACTAATCATTTCCTTATTTTTAGTTGAACGAGGAAAGTTTGTTGTTCTTCTTCGTAGGCACTAGGTTTTTATTAGCTTGTCCTGACCCAGGTCCTAATTAGGTTTTTATTTCATTCACTGGGTCTTCTATCAGTATATACTGCGGCAAGGTTTCCAAACCCTAATTAGCACGAGGAATTTTGCAATCCCATATTTTTTATGTGAAAACTGTGCCTTGTTCACATCACTTCTTCCATTTTCACTTCATATTCTTCTTTCTGCTAATTGACATGTCTATCATGGTCTGTAATCATGGAAATTTCGCACTCGAACTGCTTCGTCTGGATGGAAACTTCTGATTTTGTTACAGAGCTGTTTACTGAACCGCGATTTCTTTATCCTCATTCCTCTTGATCATCGTATCAGATCATGTAACAGAATCCAATTTTTGGTCAAAATATACTTTTTGCCAGCAACAATCCTTTCACTAGGATTAGACTCAGTTTTTAGACAAAGTTGGCAGTAGCTATAGTATGTTCTCTTTTATTGGTTCTCCTTCTCTTTTTGAATAAATATTTTTAATAAGTCAATCGAAAGCCACATCTAAAAATTCAACTGAGCATAGTATGGACGGGATCTATTGCTGTTGAAACTATTTTTTCTTATAATGCGTTTCACAGTGGGATGTGTTTAACCATGTCTCATCATAAGAAACAATAGTAGTATTCTAGAATGACTAATCACTTCTCGAAGTTTTTCATCGTCATAAATTGTCCAGTACAAACACTGGTCATTTCGAGAATGTATCACGGATTTTCTTGGAATATTTCTCATGGGATGGCCAAGCGAATTCATTTGAAGCTGTGACCAAAGATGTGTGTCAGTATAAAAAGAATGAATAAGCTGTAGGAGCGATTTTCGAAGACCATCAGTAACTAGAACTCGATCACCAAACATAAACGCAGTTTTGAAAGATTATCATAGATTGTCTAATTCTGTCGAACAGTTATGAGTCTTCTGAGTGGAGGTGTGGAAGCCAGCCACGACGGATGTAGTGTATTAGTCCACAAATGATCTGATCATTTTCACCTGACTGTACAAATTCGTTTGATGGCAAGTTGATGAAGTGATCGGCTTTTGTGAAAATACCATAAACGTCATTTTCTATAGTAACAGCTATGACTAATGTTTCCTCATCTTCGAACTTTTAGTCGTGATTCAATCTAGACAGGGAATCGACATGACCGGAGGAGTTTATAAATTAAATTCAATACGAATATCATAATTTAGTAAAGTCACTACCTATTTTCGAGATGGTTTACTGTGTACATTAAAGTTTCTTTCATAGGCCCGAAAATTTCTGTATGTGATTTTTGGTCTGTAAATAATGCGAAACGTCGATGCTAGAGACTACTTTGATACGGTACGTTTACCATCTTCAGACATAAACATAAGGGATTTTGTGCTGAGTTTGTCTAATTGTCCTTTACTGTGGTTTGTCTGTAACTGTGGCTTGTAATCAACTAAATGCCATACTTACTGTTGTACACCGAGTATCTACCTTAAAATGAATAAAATGGTTACTATAACTTTGAGTGATCTGTTGTTAAGCTAATCATTGATTGCCAAGTTGTTAATATTAAGTTATATGATTATGTCCGATGCTACTCATATTTCGACGGATGTTTAAACAAAGACAGGCAGATAAATAGATATAATGAGACGGTTTCAGAAGAACATGATTAGAGAGAACTTTGAAGAGTAGCTTTTTTAAGTTTCAATCAAACAGCATATATCTTGATGGTATTTACTAACAGTCTATTATTTGATAAAAAAGATTATCCATTTCATGTTAAGTCATTAGAGAATAACCAGTGGATAAAATATGATTATTGCTTTAGCATACCAATACATACCTCAGATAATTAAAATGTATATTTTCAAATTAAAGTAAGGTGAAGTATTCAGATAATCTTGATGAATTTTGTTCATCCTTTACGACACAATGATAAGATCAACTGTACCATGCAAAACAAAACATGAGAATTATGAAAAAAATGTTCCAGGTGTTAACTTTAAAGAATAATCTCATGATTATTCATTAGTAAAAATTGTGGTAGTGGATGTACTTTTACAAAACAATAATTCTGTATTTCAAGTATTCAGATGTTTATAGATATATTAAAATGACGGAAACTGAACATAAAACCTATACATGGATGTAAACAAGTCCCCTGTATTAGTTTGATATCATGATTGTTTACAGTTTCTAGTGAACTTAACAGAAAATGAAATTGGTGTTACATTTAAAGAAAGCTTTATTATAATCATATTATGAATAATTCATCAAGTCTGTTTGATTAAAATGTATCATCTGAAGGAAAAATTAGGTTAATGAAATTTTTATTCCTTGTAGTACTTTACGGGTTCTGGGTTTGAGTATGATATTTATGATTCAGAGCTCAATCTGTTTCTGAAGATTTACCGAGATTCCCCAATTTTAAGTTAACCATCATGAAAATACAATAAATTCTTATGATTGGATTCCTTGCAAATTAGCTGGTTCAGAGATGTAGGATAAAGAAATACTAAGAAGAGGTAGAAGTAGTTGGTTGGTAGATGTTTGTGATTATAAAAAAGAACAAAGTGATCACTATATCTTAACTGTAGTAGTAAGTAATGCTTTACAACGTATAATGTAGTTCGCATTTATCTTTGCTCATAACTTCGTTGGTTTTAATGAACTTTTCTCGCTGAAGGAGGGGAATACTTGTCACCACTCGGTAGTTAGCGACTGGGTTTTCTAGTTAATTGTTTGTAACGGGATTTAACTTGGTTATCTCGTGATAAGTACTTCAAATACGCTACAAAGTAGTGAATCTTCATCAGTTGAGGTGGTTGGGACTTGTGTTGCGTATGTCTAACCACCGACCGCCTCATCGAGCAATGTTTTGTGGTGTAGGAATAGGTTGGACGAAAGCTAGGGGCGGTAAAACCGAAACATAGCATAAATCCATGAAGTAACTGACAGATGGACTGAGTCATGTTGGTAGGTGTAGACTACCTGGTTGGGGTCCGTGAGATGATAGTACCCGATGGTTAGAGATCCTGAATAACATGGCTCAAAATCGTTTGCAATTCCGCAAGTGCTTCCACTCTTTGTGTTCTCTCAAATTCTAATCTCCTGAATTCCTCATCTCTATCTTTCTCTTTCTAAAGTCATCTCACTGAACTATATTTTTTGAATAATACCTTCGAACCCTAACCTCCTATATTACCACCAACACCGCTACTACCTGCACTATTATGGATTCTGAATTGACAGTTGCGTCTGTGTGCTAATAAGGTATGGCAACTTGAACTGATGTACGTACTTCCAAAGTTTTACGTTGTAGCTCACTGACTGACTGAGGTTTACCAATTAGCCACAGTTAGCTTACCTCTATGTGCTGTCAGATGTGTCATTCTTTTCTATTGCTACATTCTTCCGTTTTGTTACTG